GCAGAACGTCGCGGCTTCCATAGTTTTTAATTAAAATTGTCCCTACCCTGATTTAATGGCTCCATAAAGCATCTTGGCTTACTCTGCCTCAGGTAAATGAAAATATTTGCTGTGGCAAATAGGACTATTAGTTTTATGATCCGTAGCAGTAAAAAGCTTTTATCAGGAATGTCGTCAGAAGAGGCATAAAAACCGTGTTCCGTGTGAAACCACTGGTACGTCTGAGGAGTTGTGCTTTGGTTCCTGAGTGTCTGTAGGAGAAGGTGTTAGCAGCATTTAAATAGCTGCAGGCACTCCCAGGATGGCAGAGGGACTGCTGGACATGGTTTTGGGGCAGGAGGGAGCGTTTGGCAGCGGGGTGAGTGAGGAGCATCCTCCCACATCCAGGTCAGCCCGGGCTGTGCTGGGGGGTTTGGTTGCAGCTGCTTCCCCTGCAAACGGAGCTCTGCTCACATCTCTCTCTTTGTGCTGAGCTGCTGTTTGCTGCCTCCCCGAATCCTTCTGATCTGATATTCCCCAAAGGTACCAGCCGTCCCCTCCTCCAATTCCTGGCAGATTTAGGGAGTGGTTCCCATGGCGACGGGGGAGGAATTGGATCTGCAGCCCAGCTGGGATCAATCCCAGCTGCCTCCTCCTCCTCCTCCTGAGCAGTCAGCGTATTTTTAATAAAGTGACCGTGTACAGGAGGCATGTCTTTGTCTTGTTAAGCCTTTGTTGTGTATTAAATCCTGAGGGCTTTCACCATAATCTGCTGGGCTCACAAGCTTTACAAATCCTGCCCTTACTCGGAGAGCTGGGGGCATTAGACCCAGCAGAGATTTTTTTTTCCCCGATGATTTTTATTTCTGCAATTTAGCTGAGTCGGAGAACTGTTGCTAGAAATGAATGAAAATAAAGGTACAGTCTTTAGCAAGGGAACACAGGGAATATTTACAGCTGATTTCATCCCTGTTGTGCTTTATTTTATGCTGTGTTTTCCCTAAGCCTCACCTGCACGTTGTGGTGATGCACCCTTGCAGGGTTACTGTGACAGGAGTGACACGAGGACAGGGATTGCTGCCATGGCAGGGGCTCTGCTGCCTCCCAGGCAAATATATCCCAGTTCCCTGTGTTCCAGACCAGGAGTGGTGCCTGTCAGAGAGAGCCCTGAGAACCAGGGGGTTGGGTATTAACGGGGCTCCAAAGGTGAGCAGAGAGCTGAGGTGCTCTTGGCAGAGAGAACTGGCTGGGAAGGGTCTGACGTGGCCCCCAGTGCTGGAGTGAGATGGGACCATTCCTGCTGGGCAGCCAAGGATTTAGATCCTTTTTGAGTTCCAAGGCTCAGATTGGGACCTTGTGAGGGTCAGTGCTGAAGGGATGGCAGGCTGGAAAGCAGGGATGTTTTGTGGGAAGGGAAGGATGGGGGGGATGAGCTCTCATTTATCCATGGACACAACCCCACGGTAGATTTGCATTGCTGCAGATTTGTCCTGAGTGTATTGAGTGTTCCAAGACATTCCCTTTGCATGGACACAGGCAGATGTTCTAGACTGGGAGTGTGGCTGCAGGTCACTCACACTCTGCTTCCCTGGAGTCCCTGTGAGTTTGGGCAGACAGGGAGCCAACACCCAGCACTGAACCCCCTTCCCTCTGCTGCAAGTGGCACCTTATTTACCCCCCAGGTAAACCCTGCTGTGTTAGGCTCAGCCTTAGCCCAGTAGGGTACAGCCTCCCTGCCTATTACCCAAATCAGGGCCTAATTTGAGCTTGTTTCTTTTGTTGAAATGCAAAACTAATTATATTTAACTACAGATGAACAGGAAGTTGCATTAGCAATTTTATTTTTTTTTTTTCAAATCAATGGGGAATTATTCAGCATTATTTGGGGGCTGGGGAACTTTGTAACCAGATAAAAGATATGGGGGAGGGCAGAGCTATAAAAAGTGTTATTGTGTGATTATGAAGAGGCCTTTTAATGCAGTTATTATGTGATGCTAAAAAGGCCTTTATTGCTTGAAGTTGGAAGTGGAATACAAATGGGCTCCCAGTGTCTATTAAATGAAGAGTGGAAAAAATAGTCTCCGTTTGCCTGAACTGCAAAGCAAAAATACCGATTAAATAGTGATTAAAACCCGTGGCAGGGCTGGGTCTGTTGGTTTGGTCACACACTGAGCAGGAAGGTTTAGCGAGCAGGGAGCAGTTGGTGTGATTGCAGGCACAGCTCGTGGTTCTGATGGGCTGTTTCTCCAGGTTATGGTGTCAGCAAAGCGAGGGCTGGCTGAGGCAGTCAGGGCTGGATTCCCCTGCTGTCAGGTGAGCTCGGTGGGAGTCACTCAGAGGAACATTGCTCAGATTGTAGCTGGCTTCCACAGGTTACCTTCAGTGTCCCCTGGGCTCTTTGGTGCCCATTTTCATCTCCAGGGATCTGGCCATTTGTAGGACAAAGCCTGAACGCTGTTGGCAGACGCTGTGAGGACAAAACCCAGGGCTGGAGCAGCCCCACAGCCTGTCCAGTCTCCTGCCCAGACCCACCGTCAGAAGACACAAAAGGCTAAAAAAAGCCAGGTAGAATTTTGTTCCTTGACATCTCTGGCAGAGTGGAAATGTTGAGGGTTTCTGGAGTGTGTTTTGTGCCTTTAATAAGTACCCTTGGTGTGTTTCTGCACAGATGAGCCCTGGGAATTTCCTCTCCCGGTGGAAACTGGAGTAAAATAGCACTTGAAACAGCAGTTAGGTTTTGATCTACCTTGGGGTACTTGAGCATCTTGTTCCTGGATTAAATTAAAGAAGCTGAAGTGTGGTGTGAAGCAGGTTTGTTAATACTGCCTCTCTGGTTCCTGCTGCTCACCAGGTCACTGTTTCTGTCCCTTGGCAGTTTCTGGGTTTGAAAAGTGCTTTTCTGGAGTCAGTAATAACTGACTAGGGAGGTTTCCCCTGTGCCTCCCTCCCCCTGTGCTGACGTGCAGGGGGATTGGTGGTGAAGGAATTGCTGCCCCTCTGTACAACCTTTGCAGAAATGCTGTTTCTTAGGCCAGTAATGATGAGATTTAATGATAACTTTGCTGCTGGTGGAGCAGAGGGAGCAGTGACTGAGTGAGGCATAACCAGGGATGTCCTTCCTTTGCTCCTTTCTAAGACTCCAAAGAGTTTTACCTTCCTGTGTCCCAGGGGTGGTTTCCAGGTTTCATTCTCCTGAAACTCTTAAATGCACAGAAGGAGCTGAGCCCTTGGAAAAAAAAAAGTGAAAGTGTTGAGAGCTGAGTGTTGCCTGGGCTCAGATCTCTTGCCTGGCCCTTTTGGCTGTCATTACAGTGAGATATTCCCAGGTTGTGTGGTTTCCTCCCATTCTTTGCATCTGCTGTGGCACAGACATGCATAAAAAAAGATGTGAGGTAGAGCCCAGATGCCAAATTTGGGGGTGATGAAAAGTTCAGTGCTTTACACAGAGCCTCTTTTCTCCTTTCTAGCTGTAACAGAAAGCACCTGAGAATGGAATGAAAGGCATTAATAACCCCAGCCTGTGCCACTGCCTTCCCAGCAGGCAGCGACTCTCACAAGTGCAGAAGAGGGCCAGTGGTGTGTTTATACAGTGTAGGGTGGCAAAAAAAAAGAAGAGGGGGGAATGAATTTATATTAGATCTCAATTAGCTCAAAGCCATTTTACCAGCACCCCGTGGTCTGATAGCAGTGCTTGCCTGAGGAGAAAGCAAGCTCTGCTGGCTGGGCTGAGAGCCCTTCCTTGGGCTGGGCTGGCAGTTCTGTGGGGAATTCAATCCCAACATTGTTGTGGTCCAGCTGCAGGGCTCAGAAGGGTGTCTTGGGCAGGTCAGGAGGGGCTGGAATGAGCCCCTTGCTGTTCCTCAGGGCATCCAGAGGTACTTGAATGTCCCCCTCTGGCAGGCTCTGGGCTGGGCAGACCTGTGAACGTGGCCAGCCCTGGAGCACACAGTGCTCCCAGCTCTGCTGTCAGCTGAGTCTGGGCTGGGTTGGTTCTGTTCAGTGCTGTAGCCCAGCCTATTGGGCTGGAACACCAGCACTTATCAGCACAGCCTGCTGAAATCCAGGGAGAGCAAAGCCAGAGATGTGGCCCGGACCTTGCCCCAGGACTGTCCTTTGCAGGGCTCCACTGGCTGCCATGAATTGCTTCCCATTTCCCTGTGAGCAGAAGTGCTGTGTCACAGTGGCTGTTGGCTGCAGGAATGTGCTCAGCCCATCCTAATGCTTCTGTCCTTCTTTACTGAGGGCAGGCAGTGCTCCTTCAGCTGTGTGTGGCTGCAGCCTTAATGCCTAACCCCCCCTATCCATATGTTTCCCGAGTATTTTAAGGAATGTTGCCATTGGCACACACAGTCAGGTTTTAATTTCTCAAGCAACGCATGTTCCTTGAAAATCCAGGTGTGTTTGGCAGCTAAAATAACACCTCTGTGGTCTGGAGGTAAAATGAGCTGCTCTGGGAGAGGGATTTTCATGCACTACAGCGTGAAAACACCGGGAGGGGGTTTTTGAAAGAAAACCTATTCATTTTGGTGTCCTCAAATTCAACTTGACCTGGGCTTGTTAGGCCACAGATCTGCCGTGGAATTAAGCTATAGCTGGAGGAAAGCCAGAATCCAATTACATTTTCTGCCTAATGGGTCATAATTTATGCAATGAAGAAGGCAGGGATGTTGCTGGGGGAAAAGGGCACTGGACATGCGTGGATGTGCACTGGGCAGGGCTGGGTGTGAATGGACATGGAAAGGGGAACCTGTGCTGGACGTGGAAAGGGGAACCTGTGCTGGACGTGGAAAGGGGGACCTGTGCTGGACATGGAAAGGGGGACCTGTGCTGGACATGGAAAGGGGGACCTGTGCTGTCCTTTCTCACCTGTTTAGTACCAGTGTAATTCAGATCAGAAAATGAGTGTTATACTGGACTCTGCTGAATAAAGGAGCTGTAGGGGTTGGAAGGCCAGCAAAGCTTTGTTGCTGAAGACCACTCCTGTTGTTTAACCACCCCCTGTGTGCTCTTCTCTTTCCCAGCCTCTCTACAAGTGGACATCGTTCCGAGTCAGGGGGAGATCAGCGTTGGAGAATCCAAGTTCTTCTTATGTCAAGGTGAGTGCTGGCCTCAGGCATAACCCGTGTCTGGGTGGGTTTGGTTTGGTGCTGGCAGCTCTTTGGAAGCAGGACTGTGCTCTGAGGGGTGAGATTTGCTGTAGCAGGACTCGCAAGGCCGAGGAGCGCAGGGTTGGGCTCAGTGTGGTGTTGTTTTCTCCCCTGTCCCCCCCAGTGGCAGGGGAGGCCAAGCACAAGGACATCTCGTGGTTCTCCCCGAACGGGGAGAGGCTGACGCCGAACCAGCAGCGCATCTCGGTGGTGCGGAACGATGACTTCTCCTCCACCCTCACCATCTACAACGCCAACATCGACGACGCCGGCATCTACAAGTGCGTGGTCAGCAGCGCCGACGAGGGCGACTCCGAGGCCACCGTCAACGTCAAGATCTTCCGTAAGGCCGCGGCCCCGGGGCCCCTTCTTGGGGCAGCAGCAGGGGGGCAAGGCTTGTGCCTCCCTGGAAAAGGCTGGGCTTAAAGGGGGGGAAGGAGGGTGAAAAGAAAGGGGCTGTGGAGAAGGTGCAGCCTCCTCCTCCTCCTCCCTGGGTTTTGGGGGTTAATGGGGACTGGACCTGTGGTCTGCTCACCGGCACATCTGTGCTGAAATCCTTCAGAAAGGCAGGACTGGGATTTCTTCAGAGGGCAAGGGGTGGAAGGAGAAGGTTCTGGCTCTTCCTGAGTGTCCAGGAGGAGTAACCAGAGGGAGCAGCTGTTGTGGGTGACAGACATGCTGTGGGGCTGCTCTGGTGTTGAGTGAAGGGGCCCACACTCACCAGGTTTATAATAAGCCATCAGCATGTTGGCCAGCAGAGCCACAAGAGCAGCTTCTCCCCTTCCTGCTGGGAAGCTGAGCAGTTCCAAGGTCACAGTTTGCAGTGTGGGTTATTTAGGGAATGGATTTGGCCCACTGATATTCCTGGGGGACAGGGCTGGAGAATGGGGCAGTGCATTCAATCAGACACACCTTTATCCTCCCCTTGGCAACAAGATGATTTCCAGGGGGTTTGGGGCCCTCTGGGGTTTCTTTGCTTCCCTCAGGTTTGAGTCAGGAGCACAGCTTGAGGTGGGAAAGCTGCAGTGACTCTCTCCTTCCCTTGCTTTCAGAAAAGCTGATGTTCAAGAACGCTCCCACCCCCCAGGAATTCAAGGAAGGGGACGATGCTGTGATCGTGTGTGACGTGGTCAGCTCGCTGCCTCCCACCATCATCTGGAAGCACAAAGGCAGGGATGTCATCCTAAAAAAAGATGGTAAGGTCTTGGTGCTCGTCCGTTCAGGGCTCCAGTGTCCATCTCCCATCAGCTCAGATCAGGCTCACACACAAAATGGATGGTGGGCACCAGGGAAGGGGGAGCAGTTTGTACCTGGCACTGGGTCACAGGGTGTGAGTTCAGTTGGTCAGGGTGCTGTGGTTTGGCAGTGGCAGGGCAGCAATGTTCCCACAGAAATGACCATCAGGCTCTGACACTGGAATAAGCAAAGAATGCTAAAGAGAAAACAATCAGATAGAAGAAGTGCCATCAGACGGAAAAGCTGGATGTTGTGACACTCTCCAGCCTTCCTGAGGAAAAGGGCTAAAAGCTCCTTGCAGGAACCTTTCCCTTTCTTCCACAAAGCTGCAGCCAGCCATGCCCAGAGGGGCCTCCAAAGCCCTGATTCCAGCTGTGCCTCAGCTGGTTTGTCACACCTACCTGCTGCAGGCACACAGGTAGGAGGGCAGTAAAGCCTTCAGCATATTGCCTGCTCTGCTGAAATGTAGATGTGTTCCTGTGGGTTATCCCTGAGTGCTTACACTGCCCAGCACCAGCCCTTGGCTGCTCTCCACAGCCGGGTTCCTTCCTTGGCCACGTCAGACCCAGCTGCAGCAGCATCTCCCTTTGGTGGTGGGAAGGGCAGTTCCACTCCACCAATCCTTGTCTCAACCCAGAAGGGGCCCAGAGAGGAGCAGAAGCTGCAGAGAGCTGCCCTGAGGCCCCCTGGGTGAGCCTCCCTTCTGTCTTTGCAGTGCGGTTCATAGTCCTGTCCAACAACTACCTGCAGATCCGGGGCATCAAGAAGACGGACGAGGGGACGTACAGGTGTGAGGGGAGGATCTTGGCTCGGGGGGAGATCAACTTCAAGGACATCCAGGTCATTGTGAATGGTGAGAGCTCAGAGTAAGGCTGGTGCAGAGCAGGGGGTGAGAACCTCACTGTGGGAGTTCTCATCTGATGGAAACCCAACTGAAATGTCCCGTGACTGAGAGTGAGGAATTGAGCCTGGTGGGACTCACAAGTGCTTTTGTCCACCACAATGATTTTCTTTTTGTGCCTCTCCCCACCGCCTGCCCTTTGTTCCCTGTGCTGGTTGCTTTGGAGAGCTCGTGCAGCAAACCTGTTGATTGAAACCTGCAGGGGATGGTGGAAGGGTTTGAGTAACTGGTGACATCTGTGGTTATTGCAGAGATGCACAAGGAGCCTCCTGAGGCTCCCTCTTGCTCAGCCTTCTGTCCTTTCTAACTCAGCTGTGGATTTCTTCTCTTCCAGTACCTCCTTCTGTGCGTGCCAGGCAGAGCACTATGAATGCCACTGCCAACCTCAGCCAGTCTGTCACCTTGGCATGTGATGCTGATGGTTTTCCTGAGCCAACCGTGACGTGGACAAAGTAAGATGCTGTGTGCAGTGTCCTGGGGAGGTGTGTGTGAGCAGGGGTGATTCCCCAAGGCCTGGAAAACCGGGCTGGAGGGGAAAAACCATCTTAACTGGAATGAAATGAATGGATTTGATTCACAAGAGAAAGGGTGGACTCATGATGGAACTGAAGTTGGATTCTGCTGTGGGTTAAACCCTGGTGGGCAGCCGAGTCCCACACAGCCCACTTGGGGGGAGTGGGATGGGGAGGAGAATCAGAAGGGTAAAAAACCTTGTTGCTTGAGATAAAGGCAGTCTAACAGATAAAGCAAAAGCTGTGCATGCCAGCAAAGCAAACCAAGGGATTCCTGCAGTGCTTGCCCCTGGCAGGCCCTTGCTCAGCCAGGTCAGCTGCTTTGGCCGTGTCCCCTCCCAGCCTTGCATGGCAGTGCCAGGCAGTGCTGCACACCTGAGGAACACTGTCCTTGGGGTTGTGGAGCCTCTGACTGCTGCTGCCCATCACATCCACATGCTTTGTGTCCCCAGGGATGGAGAGCCCGTGGAGGAGGCTGATGATGAGGAGAAATACAGCTTCAACTACGACGGCTCGGAGCTGGTCATCAGGCAGGTGGACAAGAGCGACGAGGCCGAGTACATCTGCATCGCTGAGAACAAGGCAGGGGAGGCAGATGCCACCATCCACCTCAAAGTCTTCGGTAGGAATGCTCTTCCCATCCCCCTCCCACTCCAGGCCGTGTTGGCAGCTCACCAGTGCAAGCTGGAAGTAACCTACTTATCCCAGTTAATGCCTGGCAGGGCTTATCCAGAGCTGCTGCTTCCCCAAGGAATGCTGTGCTCCTCTGCCATCGTGTGTGTGTGTATGAAACACAGCCCAGCTCCATCCTGCTTCCCCTCTGAGGAGAGAAATCCAGCCCTGGGCAGGGGGGCTGTGATGAGGCTCACATGCTACCTGAAATATCTTCCAGGCCCAGAGGGCTGAATCCTGATCCACCCAAAGCTGCTTTAGCACCTCAGTAGGAATTGCTCTAACCTGGACAGGGAGGTGAACTCCACCCCACCACTGTGTGAGTGACCTCAAGCTTGCAGGGATGAATCAGCAGCTTTCCTGCCTTCTATGAATCTGGGAGTGTTAAGGAATATAATTCTTCCTGTCCCATATGCAGCCACTCAACAAAGCTGCTTATCAAAAGGCTGATTTGGGGCAGAGAAAGTAGACAGGGAGGTGGAAGATTCAGCTGGTAATCCCAGGGACTGATCACTTGTACACTGTTAAATGGGTTCTACTTCACATACACCCTCTCCTAGTCCTCTCTTACAAGCCTCAGCTGGAAGCATGAATAGAAGAGGTTATAGTTCTGCCAGGAGGTGCCTCTTCTCCAGCACCACTCTGCTCCTTCCCTGCATGGCAGTGAGCTTGTCACCATTCCAAAGCCTTTTCCCCCAGTGCTACCTGTCCCAAATGTTGCTGTTGGCAGATGAGCTTCATCCCAAGCCCCAACCTGAATCAGGGTTGCTTTTTCTTCCCAGCAAAACCCAAAATCACCTATGTGGAAAACAAAACAGCCATGGAGCTGGAGGATCAGATCACCCTGACCTGCGAGGCCTCTGGGGACCCCATCCCTTCCATCACCTGGAGAACCTCCACCCGCAACATCAGCAACGAGGAGAAGGTACAGCCCTTCCCAGAGCCTTGGGATCTGCCTGGGGGATCAGCACAGCCCCTGCCTGCCTGCCCTGCTGCCCTGGGCTGCATGAGCTGCACGGGGATGCACGTGGGAGTCCCGGGGGTTCCCTCTCTGGGGAGCACACCCTGTCTGCCCAGGGCTCAGCTCCAGCCCTGCAGCAGGGCCACAGGGGTCCTTTTGGAAAGAGCCACCTCTGTCTGTAAGAACTGAGGATATGCTTTGGAATTCCTGCTGGATCACTCGGGGTTGGATTAACCTGAAGAGCAGTGCAGTCTAAACCCTCTCCAGAGGAGTTTCCAGAGGGACCTACAGTTGCAGGAAGGTTGTGAAAGGGTTTTTCCATCCTGTGTCCCAGCTGGGAATGAGCACCCTGATGGCAGCACTGTCAGTGACTGGGAGGGTGGCAGGGCTGAGCTGTGGGGTCCCCTCTCAGAGGTACAGTGGACCAAAATGAGCCTGTTCATTCCTTCTTGCCCTTCCCTGTTGTACTCTGGTACTGCACATTCCTGAAGCACAAAAGCCTGGCTGCCTTTGTGCTCACCTGTTTTGTTGATCACATCAATGCCATTTTGTTCTTTAAAGGCAAAAATAATTAGCAGTTTTTCTTTTAGAGGAGAGTGCTGGTGTTGTTACTGGCTACAATTCCTTCAATTAGACAAGATGAGGATGTGCTGCTTTACTGTAGATGTTTCATAATAGTTGCATAAGTGATCAGCAGGCATAATTTGGAGCTAAAGAAAGCCTAGATAAAAGCTGGAGTGAGGAGTTGTTGCTTATTAATAATCTTCTAATAACAGGATGCTTCAGGGCTCAGCTGCCTTGGCCATGCCAGGGGTTCTGGCTCAGTGTGAAGGCAGCAGGGGACAGACTGTGAAAGTCTGGGAGCAACAGAGGTGTCCACTGTCAGTTGTCCCCACAGCTGCCATCCTGCACTGGAGCTCCTAAATGAGCTTTTTTTAATTGCCCCCATGATGTCAGCTCTCCCCCACGCTGTTCATGTGTAACTTATTAATCAGAGTGCCAAAGTTTTCCAGCTTCAGTTCTTTCTCAGCATCTTTGGGGTGGGAGGGCTGCTGTGAATCCCTGCAATGTTCACAGAGGGTTCCAGTGCCCTCAGAAGCTGTTGGCTTGTCCCTGCAGTGCGACTGGGGCACCTGTTTGGACAGGAGGAGGTTATTTATTCGTGGTCTTGTCTCTGTCCAGGAGGGTCCTGGGAGGAGCCCGGGGCTCCAGAGCTGCTGGCTCTGCAGTTTGGGTCACAGCCATGGGAAGAGCTTTGTCAGGGAGGAGAATATAAAAACTAAAGCCTGCCTGTTTGCAGAGCCCCCTCTGTCCAGCCCAGTTAAACCCTCCAGATCTCAGTGGCAAAACTGCTAACTCATTTTTGCTGATTTTTGAGACTCATATATCCTGCTTGATGCTGTGGCTGAGCAACAGTACAGAAAATGGTGATTCTCTGATACTTTCTTATACAGGCAGGGGGAAAATCCAAGGTTTGAGGTGCAGCCATGTGTCTCGTGTTCAGACCTTCAGGGCAAACACATTTTGATCACATTCCATGCACTTTCTAGGCTGGGTCATTTTATTTTGTGTGTGTGTGTTTTGGTTTGGTTTGTCTTACACTTTTCCCATTCTCTCTCTTGTGCTGGAGGTTTAGGTGGATGGTACAAACATCCAGGAAATCCTCAGGTCAGAACAGCTCTGGTTACCATTCTACTCCATGTACAACCAAATTCATACATTCAGGTTACTCTGCCCTTGCTGTCTCTGGGACAGCACAGGGAAATGGATGGTCTTTGATGCAGCACAAACAATACTATTTTTAGGATTATGAAGCCCTACTTCTGAATATTCTTCAGGTACTTGGATGCTTCTGTCTTGCTTCATCTTGTTTACTTTTGTAATCATACTTCAGTCTAGATTTTTAGAGGTGCCTTAACTCCCATTAACGTTCTGTACTTCAGAAAAAAACCTTCCCAAAACCCCAAATAAGCAAGAAAACCACCCTTTGTGGCTCCTGCTCTGCAGAGAGCACAGAGCAAATAATGACAACAATGATGAAATTAATTAAAAATTTGCTTACCTGGGGTTTACTTTGGTTGTGAAGGTAGGAACATGCTGCTTAGGAGGAATGTTTGCCTTGTCAGTGTGGGATTGCTGTCTGTCCCTCTGCAGAGCAGAGGCCTGGGAAGGCAGCAGCAGGATGGTTTGGAGGGGTTTGCCTCCTCTCCCCTTCAGTGCCTGTGCAGGCAGCAGGAATTGGGAGGGATCCCAGGGGAAAACTGCTCAGCTCCCTCCTCACCTTCAGTGCTTCCCAGCCCCTTGAAGAGCCACGCTTCTCTCACTGCTCTGGCACAAAACTTAACTGTGCTTAGGAAATGAGTCTCGATGTGCTGTAAGTGGTGCAACAAGTTTTACAGTTTCAGTGCAGACTGTCAGATTTTTGGCTGACACAGTCTCTGGCTGCACACACTCCCATGGAGCAGTTGTGGAGCCAGTCCTGGGGTTCTTACCCAGCAGTGCAGCTCAGTGGGTGGGCATGGGAGGGGAGCAGGCGAGGGGACACACAGGCTGTTATCCTGTGGCCAGGGCTGACAGGAGGGGGGTCTGCAGCTCAGGATCTCATTCCCTTGCACAGCTCACACCAGGTCAAATGACCAGTGCAGTAATTAAAAAAAAATAAAAACTAAAAGGCAAATTTAGTGACCTGGAGGAGAGTCAGGTACTCTGATGGTGCAGGTGAGTGTTGCTGCAACACCCTCAGCAAAGGGATGCAGAACACTTAACATTCCAAATTTAACTTAATGGAAGCCTAATTTCCTGATTGTATTTTGTTTTTTTTTTTTTTCCTCCTGAGTGGGCAATATACCTCGAATACAACTCCCTGTCTTAAATTTGTGTTGTGCTCTGCATCTTAGGAGATGTACATGGGACTATCTTTGGATTTAATGATCCGGGGAGAGAATTACATTGGCAGTTCCCAGGAACTCCTTTGTGATGAGGATTCTCATTTAACAACTTGTTTCCAAAGTGAAGGGGAGATGCAGGAGGCTCTCGATTCCCCCCCTCCTTGTTCCCTGCATGGTGCTGAGTAGAGCTTGTGTCTCTCTCTGTCTTGGGGAAGGACAGTTAGTCTGGAACTCTCCAGGATGGAGAATGTGCTTCTGCCTCTTTCCCCACATCCCTGAGTGACAAAGGAACAACAAACTCTGGGGATGTGGGAACAGGCTTTTTTCCTTCTTTAGGCTGGCAGGTACTGAACACCAGAGGATAAAAAGAATCCCCCTGTGCTGACACTGTGGGGACCCAGTGAACAGGACTGGAAGGGGACTCAGATGGGTACAGGCGAGGCAGGTCCCTGGCAGAGTGACTGGGACAGCAAGAAGGGATTATTTTGGGTTATTAGGCTGCCTGTTCAGCTTTCAAGGACCTTGTGCACAACAGGATATATATACACAGAAATGACCAGGTTTTGGGAGTGTCCTGCCCTGTGCAGGTGTTGGGGAGCTTCTCCTCAGGCTTCTAGTTACAAGCAAATGCTTTGCTTTCATCCAAGACATTGTAGGACGAGGCTGTCTGTCCCATCTGTTAATATTTGAGTCTCACAATGTTCACTAGAAGCCCTGTGGAGACAGTGCTGTGTTTTTTAGTCTCATTCCCTGAGCCTCCATCTCCATCCCTGTCACCCGTGTGTGCGCTGTGACATCCACACTGTGCCTCACACCCAGTGGTGCCATCGTGGCTGGGACATTAGCAGCTGGTTTGGGGCTCCTGAACTGAAGTGGATCGAGATACAATGGATACAGAGTCCAGAAGATATTTGAAATATAGGGGGGAAAATGGAACCCAGCAGCTTTGGTCTTTCTGAACCACAGTGATTATGGTCCACACTGGTGGTGGCTTTCTCTGAACAGGAAATATCTGCCTGAAATACCTGCTTTAATGTAAGGTTTGTGCATGTTTCACTGCTGTTGGGTTGTGCCAGGCCCAGGAAGGGCTGGGTATGATCAGCTGGAGGCACCAGGTCCTGCTGTGCCCCGTGCAGGGTGCCCCACTGTCCCAGTGCTCTGCAGCTCGAGGTCTCCTCCTCCTGGCACAGAATGCATGGAAATGCAGCTCCAGATGCATGGCCACGTTACTGGGGGGCAGTGGGAATCAGTGTGGGTGGGTGGCAAACAAACCAGGGGGAGAAAACCAGTTCTGGGACTTGTCTCTGCACTTCAGTGGCCCAGGTGAGCAGAGGCACCTCCCAGGACCTGGGCACAGGGGGCTGGAGAAGGTGAGAGGTGCCAGGGGACACAGTCCCGGGCTGTGTGAACACAGGAGCACTTTCAGGTGCCAGCACCCCCTGGTTGGTAACCTTACAGCCAGTTTCTAGGAGATGGAATTCTGAACACCCACCTAAACTGAGGTTCTGTGGGCAATGGGAAGTGTGATGGCCACCCCCCCCCCAGGAGATGTACACCCTGGAGCCTGCATGTGCACAGGACACAATGTGCTGCAAACACTGATAACCTGAAAGCAACCTTTGATAAACTTGTATTGCTTTTTTTCTGTTGTTGTTGTTGTGTTCTATATCTGTTCTCTCCAGGCTTCGTGGACCCGGCCCGAGAAACAAGAGGTATAAGATTACCAGACCTTTAGCAAACTCCTTAGGTTTTTGGTTTTGGTTTCTCTTTAAGCATTACAAGATTAACAAACCTCTAGTCCAGTAACCAAGCCAACTAAACGAGCATTAATATGAACAAGTTAAATACCAGCACATGAGAGAAACAGCTTCTAGAATTAGAAATTACTTGGCCTGTAGTGCTGCATTTTTGGATGAGCAAACTAGCTGTGTTGGGAGTGAGTAACCCTGCCACTTTAAAGGAAAAAAAAAGACAATTAAAAGTAAAAGCAGCTGTAAAATCTGACAGATCCTGCTTTCCCCATGCTGCCTCTCTTGGAGATTGAAGATTAGCACCAACGTGTTCTGGGGAAGGGTTTTCCCCCCCGAGATAATTCTCCTCTGCTCCAACCAACTCACCTATTTGCTCATGGTGCTCCTGAAGCTTGACCTTCTCTTAAAGGACAACTGCATCATGTTCCATTTCCAAATCAATGCAGATAAACCTTCCAGGAGGTGTATTTCTCCAGAAAATGCTCCAAATTGCTCAATTACTCTTTGATTTGCAAGGGTCAGTGAGGGGGGGGTTGGTGCAAGTGGGGTTTATTGCTTTTAATTTCACAGTCAGTACTGTACTGGAAAAACAGTAATAATAATAATAATAATAATGAGAATAACCTACCTTTATGTGCATCTGATTTGTAACACTTGCTTCAAAATGGACCAGAAAGTTTGTTTCCAAGCAAATAATAAGGGTCAGGTAGAGAACAAAATTAACCATCAGAACTGGGGGGGGGCTCATATATGTATTTTTAGGATCAACTTTGTGGAAGCTCTGGGTACCCTGATTTTTTCTTTAGCTATTTTTAAGCCATCCTAAACCACAGAGACTGGTGTGGCCTAAAACAAAGTAAAGCTGTAATTTTAAACACCATCCACCCGTGTTCCATGTGGGGCTGAGAAGATCCTGCCCCCTCTTCCTCCAGAATAATCTGTTGGAATAGATGTACTGTGGCAAGTGAAGGCATCAGAGCAGTTTGCATTGAAGAATTTGGAATCTGAGTAGTTGCATCTTCAGGACTCCTGTTAATTCCTGTGACAGTTGTCTCTGTCTCCCCCTGCCCCCAGTGTTTGCTCTGGGCTCTCTCTCTCTCCAGCTTTTCATTAATAAGAGCACTAACACTGTTAAGCTTTGCTGCCTCTACATTCCTTGCTGCCTCTGTGTCTGAAAATCTCCAGGTGGGGTTTGGTGAGAATGTTGGTGAAGGTTTATCACTGCAGCTCGGGCAGGATATATCCTTAAAATGGCTTTTAAATTGCCTGAGGGCTTCTGGCAGGGGGTTCCAGCAGCAGGAATTCTGGGCTGGGGAAGTGCAGGGAACACTTGGCATGGAGTGTTTCACTCTTCCTGAGGGTGAGGAAGGTGAGGGAGTCACAGCAGCACAGCCCCAGTCCCACCACAGCTGGTGCTGCACTGGGAGTCAGGGCAGCCCTGCAAATATTGAAGGGTTGGGTTAGGGCAGGGCAAGCACAGAGCCAGGAGAGACCCCTCATCTTCCTTCACTGCAGTTTGTACCTGTGGGCAGGATTTCCAGGTGTTCTGTGGTGGTGGGAAGTGGGGGAGGAGGAGGTAGGACTGTGTGGAATTAAGTCAGGGATGCTTGTTTGTGGAAGGACTGAAAACTCCAGAAGGTGGAGGGCAGGGGGATAACAGCATTTTATTTGCCTCTCCTCTTCCCCTTTGGCTCTGGGGCATTGAGCTCTGGGCAGGCTGTGCCCACAGTGACTGTGTGCCCCAGGGATGGGCACAGTCTGGGGAGAAACACCGTGTGAATCTCAGGAGGAGCTGCAGTGGTTGGCACTGCAGAGACCCCTCACACCCTGCTCTGCTGGGGCAGAAGCTCCTGCCTGTGTCCCTGAGGGGGTCTCCCATTTCTAGGAAGCACTTTGTAATCCAAAATCCTTGAAATCAAGGAGACAAGGTAAAGGATTACAAATGTCTGTATCTGGCTCACAAGTTTCTCCCTGTCCTGCCTCCAGCAGCCAGGAGTTGTTGGCATCTGATGGGCTGAAACAGGAATAAAGAGAACTAGTCGTGTGCTTTCTTGGGTAGATGTTTTTCTCTTCTTTAGGGTATTTTCCCCCATCTTTCTTTTTCTTTTCCTGTGCCTTTTGCATTAAGAGACAGAGCTTCATTTTCAGGACCAGTTGCATTCCTTGTGCAGTTGTCCCTGGCACTCTGTCTGTGTTAGACCTTGAGGAAGTGGGGAAAAGGCAGGTGACACTCGGATGTAAAATTACCTTTTGCAATATTTTGGTTTCAGAAGTGGGTTTGGGAGTCAAATCACAAGTCAGAAGGATGGAGTTTGTGGCACTGGTCGGGGATTGCAGGAGACCTGTGTGCAGGGTAGAAGAAAGGAAAAAAAAAACCACCTATAATTGGTTTTGTGTCATCGAGGGATCCTGGTTTTGTGCACGTGAGATTGGACTGGCTCAAGTGGGCTGATGTTAGAACTGACAGAGGGAACAAATCACATTTGCTTGTAGAAGCTTTGTCAGAGACCACAAACTCAGCACATAAAGAGGCTTCAGGCCCAGGGGTTCTGAACACCTGAGACACCAGAGCTGTGCTTTGTGCTCCAGCTCAGGGCACTTGGCTGTTTAAAATCCTCAGGGCTTTTTAAATCATAGTCTCAGTGCTTGTCCTGTACCTTCCAAGAAAGCAGATGCTCTTGGAGCATGAATTGCAGGAGGAGTGGAGGCTGCAGCAGCAGGCACAGCCAGGATGGGACCAGATTTATTCCCTTGTGCCACTTTGGAGAGCGGATGAGACAGTTGGTGCTTTAAAGCTTCCAAACTGGAGCACGAGGGTGGAGAGAGGGTTTGAGTGGCCTTGAGTGTACTAACAGAGCACTTGGGTTTGGTCCCAAACTGGAGAGGAAACAAGCCCAACCTGGTGTGGGATGGGATGGGATGGGTGGGTACAGTCCCTTGGAGCAGATGGTGGCCTGGATTTTACATTCCTGGTCTCTCTGTCAGTGACATCCCCACACTTTCTTGCATGTGGGAGGTTGTTCTAGAATTTTCTTGAAGCACCACCAGGCCTTGAAGCAGGGCTGTCTCTACAAGGGTCTTGTAGTTTTCTTGCCCTCATCTCTCTTCCTGTGCCCCTCTGCACTTTTCTCTGTTCTCATGCCATGTTCAGGTGGAAGTTCTGAGCTTTCTTTTTGCATGACTCTACTCTGAATTCTGGATCTGTTCTTATTAATGCCATTGCAAGGACACTGGAATAAATCCAGTGTTGGTGAGAGAGCAGGAAGGGCTGAATTCTCTGAGGGGAAGCACAGTAGCCATTGGGGAGGTTTCCTTTATTTCCTTCCATGCCGACAAAAACTTCCAACCAGAGCTGGATCTTTGCAGTTCTCATTCTGGGGAGAAGCCTGCCTTTGGTCGCCCTCAGATCTTCATAGTAGCATCTGATACTCTGGTCCTTCATCTCCTTTTTCCCCCTCCTCCTGAGTGCTCTGAGTCACTGCAGTCAGCCCCGTGTGACCAGGAACCTCCCCGCTGTTTTGGAAGTGCCTCCCTGTGCCCTCCGGCCTCGGGTGCCCCATCCCAAGCCCTGAGCCCCGCAGGGTTGGCGTGAGCTAGAGCTGCCCTTGTTGGCACCCCTGTAGTGTGCAGCCCCTGTAGGCTCAGCCTCTGATGGGCTCTCCCTCCCTGCAGACCCTGGACGGGCGGATCATCGTGCGCAGCCACGCGCGGGTGTCGTCGCTGACGCTGAAGGAGATCCAGTACACGGACGCGGGGGAGTACGTGTGCACTGCCAGCAACACCATCGGCCAGGACTCCCAGGCCATGTACCTGGAAGTGCAGTGTAAGGAGCAGAGCCTGGGCTGGGGAGGGGGCTGGCAGGGGGCAGTGTTTGGGCTCCCTTTCCCCGGGGTGACACCGAGGTGCCTCCGGCTCGGGACGTGCCCGATGTTGAGTTTGAGGGTGTGGGAGGCAGCTCAGCCTCAACACATTTAGCTGGAGACATTGCTGGGTGCCTGCCTGAGGGTGTTTGCTGTGCCTGTCTGCAGCTGGGCTGCTCTGTGCACCTTGGGAAGGGTATGGGCCATGGATCTGCTGCAGTCCCTTTTGTTGGGTGCAGCAGAGTTCTTCCCTAGAAAAACTTCCTGACGTAATTTCTGTCGTGGTTTGAGACTCCTAAAAATCCAATTTCCGAGTCCAAGCCCCCCTCCCACAACTCACTTCAGTGTGAGAGGGGTTTTTCCAGGCACAACACAAGATTTAATATGGGGGGGAAGGGAATTATATTACAATAATCACACAAATAAATATTATAGCACATTATATACACAATCCTAATTATTTCTCCTATGATAAAGCAGTATTTACATTGGGTCAAATGTCTTTTCCCTCTAATAAAAGTCCAGAAGGGAAGAAGGAAATATCCTTTCCACGTTCAGGGCAGCAGTGTCTCTCCTCTTCAATGCAGCAGTCAGAGTTGGAGTTGTAGCTGGATCTGATCTCTCTCCATTACCATTTCCTAGTTGCATCGTGCTGTCTGCTCCTCCCACTCTGCACAGGAGCAGCTTTGGGATGGAGCAGGTCTCCTCCTTCAGCAAAAGACACTGGGAGAGGACAGTTCCCATCTCCTGTAGTAGATTCCCTTTCCCACACTGAAGTGGACCCCCAAGGGATCCTTAGAGTGAGGCTGCCTGGGCTGCTTTAGGGGATTGGCTCCAATTGCCTTCACAAATGTCTGTCTTGCAGATGCCCCCAAGCTCCAGGGCCCCGTGGCTGTGTACACCTGGGAGGGAAACCAAGTGAACATCACCTGTGAGGTGTTTGCCTACCCCAGTGCTGTCATCTCCTGGTTCCGGGACGGGCAGCTGCTCCCCAGCTCCAACTACAGCAACATCAAGATCTACAACACTCCCTCAGCAAGTTACCTGGAGGTGAGGAAAAGCCAGGGGGGAAGGAGGCATGTGCAGCCAGGGAGGCTCAAATAATTGATGTTCCTGATGCTGAAGGGGTTAAGTCTTTTGCAAGGGCACCCTGTTGGTAGCAGTGGAGTTGTGTGATGTTTCTGGCACATCCCTGCTGAGAAAATCAGGTAATACAGGACACAACCCCCTCCCTGCCTTTGGTTTTTGCCCACTGCAGTTCTCCCCCGTGGACAGCCCTGGGACTGCCAACACCTGGACTTTGCTGTAGGGTCCCTCCAGTTAAAGGAGTGCTTTGGCAGAGTGACAAGGGGGTTCTGATCCAAGCACGAGCCTTCATTCCTCCCACAGGTGACCCCAGACTCGGAGAATGACTTTGGGAACTACAACTGCACTGCCGTGAACCGCATCGGCCAGGAGTCCTCCGAGTTCATCCTGGTGCAGGCAGGTGAGCATCCCAGGAGGAGAGCAGGGAATGAAGTGTGGGGGGCATTGAACTGAGGTGACAGAGTGGCCCTTGTGTTCAGCAGGAGAGCCAACTTCTGCTGTCAGAGAGGCTGTTCCAGACTCTGTGCTGTAGATGCTCAGTGTCTCTGTTTCCTTGTTTCTGGAGGGTCTCGTTCTTTCCTGTGCTTCCAGCACACCTTGACAGAGCTATGAGCTGTGATTTCTGACAGACACTGCATGTGTGTGCACAGGGGCTTCCCCAAGTCAGCAAAATACCCCTGGTGGTACAGGGAGTGCACGATACAAACCCCAGAGCTGACCCAGCCCAAGAGACCGTGTCTGACTGCAGCACACCCTGGGAGGGTCTCTGAGATCAAGCTCTGTATTGCAGTGCCCCATGGAAGGACTGTAGGGACAGAAGAGCATCCAGGGTGCTTTTGCTACACTGCTCTGGTTGTCCTCAATTAGAGAAGGGACTGTGAGTCTCCAGCCTCACAGAGAGGAGACAAGATGAAGGTCTCTGCACTAATTAACCTTCTTAAAAGCTGCTCCAGAGGGAGCCTCAGGCCCAACCTCCTCCTCTCCTTTGTGAAGCCATGCCAAGGGTGTCATTGATGTCCCCAATTTGCTGCTTTCTTTTCCCTGACCCCTCCTGTGTCTCTGTTCTCTTCCCTCCTCCCGCAGACACTCCGTCCTCCCCGTCCATCGACAGAGTGGAGCCCTATTCCAGCACTGCCCAGGTGGAGTTTGATGAGCCTGAAGCCACTGGTGGGGTTCCCATCCTCAAGTACAAGGCAGAGTGGAGGGCCCTGGGCGAGGGAGAGTGGCATTCCAGGTTGTATGATGCAAAAGAAGGTAGGACAACACAACCAGGTGGTACCTCCCCCACCTGAACCTCCCCAGCCCGACTGTCCTTTAGGGAACAGCCACAGAGGAGGGTTCCACAGCTCTGCACTTCCACCTCCTGTAGTTATAAGGCCCAAAAATAGTTCTTAAACATTTGCTGTGCAGTGACAGGTTGTGTTTTCCCTGGGAGATGAGTGTGCTGAGGGCTGTACCTGTGTGACAAGGCACTGGTGGGCAGCACTGTGCTCATCTCTGCAGCCCTTCCTTGTTCACACCATCCTCCCTGAATGAGGTGAGGAGCCCTGTGCTTGGAATCAGATGAGTGTTCACTTGCTAAGTGTCTGTGTGCTTCCCAGAGAAGGCTTTTCAAGCCCCTCAGTTCTTGGAAAATAAACCCTCCTATTCCAGCAGCAAAGCTGCCTCCCATTACACCCCATCTTGTTAAATCCATAGCACTGCACACTGCTTCAGATGGATCTGTAAGTCAAATAAACCAAACTCATTTTGATTTGGGAGGACTAGAGATTATCTCAGTTGGTTAGAGGCTGGTGCTAATAATGCCAAGGTTGTGGGTTCAATCCCTGTATGGGCCATTCACTTTGGAGTTGGACTCTATGATCCTTGTGGGTCCCTTCCAACACAGAATATTCTGTGATGTTGTGACTATGAAAAGGAAACTTCTATTCCAGAGCTGAATCTTCCTCCACCGATCATGCCTGGAACTGAAATTCTTCTGTTAGGTCCCCTCTGGAGTGATGGGATCACACAGAGTCACATTCATTTCTCTCTTTCCTCCCTCGTGTCTGTGTAGGAAAAATAGAGCTTATTCCTTCCCTTGTTATCAGCACGACCCCTGAGCTTTTCTTTGCTTTTCTTCCCTTGTTTCTGCCCCAGCCAACGTGGAGGGCACCATCACCATCACTGGCCTGAAGCCTGAGACCACCTACTCGGTGAGGCTGTCTGCTGTCAACGGCAAGGGCGTGGGGGAGCTCAGCCTGCCCTCCGAGTTCAAGACACAGCCAGTCCGTAAGTGAAAGCCAGCCCTGCCCTGCCCCTCTGCTCACCTCGCCTTCAGTCCTTCCAGGGAATCTCTGCCATGCATGGAATGACACCTCCTTGTCTCGCAGGCCTGGCTGCACCCCGTGTTCTCGGGGTGGCTTTGGTGCCTCATTACACATCACCCGGGGAGGGAGGAGGCAGAGGAGCTGTTTTACCTGCACTGGTTGGTGCCCTGGGCTGCCACAATGGACTTGGGGTTGCCAAAGAGGAGGGACTATGTAAGGGGGGGATTTCAATAAGGAAAGGCAGTTAGGGAGGGTGTTGGTCCTGGAGAATTTGATGGCACTGGCACAGGGCAGGTTTCCTTTGCAGATCAGAAGTGAAATGTTCAGCACATCGAGGCCATGAGCTGGGGAGGGAGGGGGGTTCTCTTTTCTGCACATCCCTGCTTTAAGGTGCCCACCACGAGGGGATTCCACAGCCTCTGCTGTGCCGTACTGGGCCATCTTCCAGTCCAGGCACAGACTGTGGCCCAGCACTGTCCCTCCTGTTCCAGCCAAGAGTGAAGGTGGCAGGAATACAAAATCAGAGTTATTCAAGATGGGAAGGAGAGAAAGAGAAAGAAAAGGAGCAGAGTGGGCTGGGGAGATGTGACAAAAGCAGGCAGGGGAGAGGTGGTGGTTCTGTGGTTCTTCTTTCCCATTCCCCTGCATCCTGATCTTCAGCCTGTTCTTCTTCCCACCATCACACCCAGACCTCTGTCCCGTTCTGCAGCTCTTCTGAAGCCACTCTGAACTCAGAGCAGTTCCCAGCCCATCAGGTGCATGTTTGGAGGCCCCTGGGCTGTGCATGGTCTTGGTTTTTGTCTGCCAACTTGTGCCTCCCCAGAGCTGCTGGGCAGAGCAGTGTGGGGCAGGACACCTGTGGGGTTTTGATTTTCCAGCTCCCTGTTCTCTGTCTCCTCTTCTCACATCTTCTACATTTTTTTTTGTGTGTCTATCTCTGTCTTTTTATTTTTTTTGGTCTGTGTTCCATCCCTGGATAAACTGCAGGCATCCCTCACCCACGTAAGTGCTCTCTGCATTTCTTTCACTCTCTTTTTTTTTTTTGTTCCTCTAACATACAGGACATTAGCTTTTAATTTAGTGCCTTTTTCCTCTCAGGGTCTTTAGAAATGGAGTAACTGGTAGTGTCCATTTCCTAACAAGACTGACTCTAGAATAGTCACCCTGCTCTGGGTGATGCTGCTCTTTTTTAGAACAGAATTAGGGCTTAACATATTTGTCTTTAGTGTAAAGCATGCAACTGAAATATTTAACATAGTGATTGTCTAATAATAATAATAGATAGTGTATTGACTACAGACTGGAGTAGTGGAAGGCTTCATATTTATGAATCCATTAAAATCGTTAAATTTTAATAAAATATAGATAATCCAGGGAAACCAAAGAGGAAGAAGTTTTAGGTAAACTTTAAGTCTGGTTGAGACCAATTAAGAGCCAACCAAAAACTTCTAAATTTTTAATATCTTCACAATTTGGAAAACAAAAACTTCAAGAGAAAAAATTCACATTTTTTGCCTCTTCTCACCAGTAATTTTTACCATTAGTAGCCTTTGGACAGTCTTCCAGCACTTGTGTAGATTGTGTACTTAAATAAACCCCATACTAAATGAAAAACAAAAAGCATGTTTCCCCCTTCCCAATGCAAAGTGAGTCAGAAATGTGATGGAAGTGTTTAATTGTCAGTGAAACTGTGGGTGCTCCACAGCTTTGTGCTGTTCCAATCACAGCTAATCAATGGAGCCAAAAGAAACCTCTTCATCTCAGAGAGCATTATTCTCTTTATTAATGTGTCCTTGCTGTTATTCCCAAGATCCCATGGACAAGGTTGGGGAAGCTGCTGTCACATCCTCAGAGATTTCTGAAGCCAAAGTAAAAAATCCAGGAAATCATTTTTATTTTTACCCCAAATTCCCGTGTTTAAATCACGCCTGTGCTGTTTTTCCTTCAAGCCTGTTTTATACAAAAGCCTGGACCCAGTGGAGCAGTGAGAGGATGGCTGGGTTGGTAGTCAGGGTGGATGAATGAAGGGACAGATGGACAGACAATTGCAAATTGCAGCAGTTAGAGAGTCACCTGGGAGACATTTCCACAACATATGTGCAGTCTGGGGCCTGCAATTGTGTGGAGCCTGTTAATTGCAGCAGAAGTAATTATATCCCTTCTCTGAAGGTAATCATGGAGAGTGTTACAGCTCCCAGGGTCTGGGGAGAGTCCAACATAGCAGTGAGAGCCAGGGGAGATCAGGGCTGGGGTGTGCACATCAGGACTGCAGGAAAAGGGAAAAAATCCAATTAAGAAGCGAGGAAAAAGACCATTAAAAGCTTTGTTTCAGCCACACTGTCAGATCTGCCTGCCAAGCCTCATGTCCATCACCTGGGGACAGGTGTGTGGCTTTGAGGAGCATTAAAGCACAGTTGTTGGGGAGTCTTTTGGTGGTTTTTAATGTGGCAGCAGGCTGCCAGTCAATCCATAGCCCCCATCTCTGCTCCCCTGTAGGGTAAGTTCCAGCTCTTCTCCCTTCTTTGTGGGCTGAACTGTATTTTTCATTTGCAAATTCTGTTCTGCTCCTCCAGGCACAGCCCCTGCTGGGATCCCTGGGAGCACTGGGTTTGACACCCAAACATCTCCATGTACAAACCCCCAGCCCGACAAACCAACCCCAGAATAACCCCCAGATTCCAAATCCCTTCCCATTCTCCCTTTGGGCAGTTTTTACCAGGAATCCCCTCCCCTCCTCACCTGCCTTTCTCTTTCCCCAGTGAGTCCTGCTGCACCCACCTCCCGTTTAGCAGAGAGTGAGTACAGCACAAAGGGCTGCCTTTGGTCCACTGTGCTCTGCATGATCTTCTCACTGGGTGTGCTGCAGTCTGCCTAACATCCCTGGGGGTTTTCCTAACATCCCTGGGGGTTTTTTCCTGCTCTTATTTTTCCCCCCAGCTCTCTCTCCATGGGGCTGCTCCCCAGCCCCTCAAGGTGCCTGATTTACCCCTCTCTGTCACTGATGGTTCTTGGGGTCTTGGAGGCAGGGCAGTGATAATTCTTTAAAACCAAAAGGTTTTATGTGCAATAGTAGAGAAACCCCTCCCACAGCTCGTGTCCCTCCTGCTGTGTTCTTCCCAGGGCTTTTGGGAGCAAGGACATTCCTTGTCCTTCTGTCCTGGCAATCCCTGTATTTCCTGGTGCAGCCTGGGCAGTGCAGGCTGGCAGCTTCTCCCAGAACTCACTCATTTCCCGAGGTGCTCCCACTTTCAGGGCTGTTAGTCCCTTTTCCTGCTCTCTGCATGTTCCCTGGATGCAGTGCATGGAGGTGGGAAGGAACAGGGAAGTCCTTTCCCTGTGGAGGGGGGGCTGGAAAGCAGCAGCAGGGCACGATTTTTGCAGCCTCTTGAGGTAGCACAGCCCTGCCATGGGGATTCAGGTCATTCTCACTCTCACTAAAGCTCCTCTCTCTCCTTTCTGTCCCCCCTGCCCCTTCCCCTTGATTTCCACGGGGTTTCACCTTGACGTGTCCTGTCCATCCTCCACGTTTCCATAGCAACAACTCCTGCTGCTGAATCCCAAAGCCCAGAGGCACCGAGTGAGTAGCTGGGCAGTGCTGGGCAGTGCTGCCCGTGCTCTGGAGTGCTGCTTGTGGTGCTGCAGCCCTTGGGAGAGGGCACTAAAGTGCTGTATTGCCTCATCCTGGTGCCTGGTAACCAGCAGTGTGTGGTGTGAGCATGGGGAGATCCCAGCATGGGGCCACTCTGCCTCCTCCTCCTGTCAGCCTTCCAAGCATGTGCTAAATAATGGAAGTGGAAGGTTTAGAAGGAACACAGAGGGGGGTGGAGGTGGGGGAAAAGAAATAGAAATTATCATTTCCAAAAGGAGCATTTGCCTTTCGTGTTCCCCATCAGTGATTTTGGTGTTAAAGCTGCCTCTGCAAAAAGGGAGGTGGACTAAAGGGTGTTCTTGCTGCCCTGCCTTGCTCTGTTCTCTTTGAATCCAGGGAGGTAGAGTTGATATTAAAAGTATGGGTGTTGGATGCTGAAAGAGGTGCAAATGAGGAGGTAGAATATCTTACAGGAGAGAGGGAGCTTTGCCCCATCTTACCACCAGTGCCCTGCTTGCCTTAAAAGAGGTGTAAACTTCCCAAGAAATCCTACCTGAGATGGGCCTGGTTCAGATTCCCTCAGTTCTTGCCCATCCCTTGCTGCCTTGGCAGCCATTCCTGCTGAGGCTGGATCTGGGTACTCCAAGGAAAACCAGCTGAAAAAGTTGCATGAGTTGATTTGTATCCAAAATAACCATTTTGAAGTGTCTGCTTTGGCCTGTTCAGACTCCAGGGCCACCCCTGCCTGGGACTGAGTGGCTGTGTCACATGGGTGACTTTAATCCCTGCCTGGAGGAGATTTACAGTCAGTCACATGTCCATAGAAAAGCCAAGCAAATACCTGCAACAAAATAGTGAGAGAAATAAAAAACCCCTTAAGGAAGAGGCAGGTTTTCCTGGTGCATCCGTGTGTTTTGAGCAGCTAATCATTCCTGCAAGGCCAAATGCCTCTCTTTTGGTTTGCAGTAACCAAATGTCTGTGTTTCTGGGAATGTGATCTCCAGGCTGGGGACCTGCAGTGGGTCAGAAATGGGTCGTTGCTTCCAAATGGAAAATACTAAAAGCATGATGTGTGTGATTGTTCTGGGGGTTGGGATGGATGGTATGGCCAGTAAAAGGAATTAAACCCCTCATAATTATTGCTACATTTATGACTGGCACATTCTGTGGTCTAACCCATATCCTTTATCTGCCAGTGGCCACAGCCAACGAGTTCCTTCTTGCAGGATATTTTATTTGCCCAAAGTGCTAAACCCCAGTTCCTGATGCACTGGAGTGTTGGGGGTTCTGAATTGCTGAGGAGACTTTTTAATTCTCATCACACCTGGAGGATGGGGAGGAGAGGGCGAAGGGCAGAGCCTGTAATAATCCTTTATTCCTTAGGAGGCAGAGGCTCTGTTCATGTGTGGGCTTCTCTTGGAGGGAAAATGATGGGTTAATGTTTTGCAGAACATTTTATTCCCTAAAAAGAATCTTTACCCAGAAAAGAGACCCAGGGCTGATTTGTGCTAAACATTTTCCACCCTTGATTTTGGTCTGGGGTCAGGGGGCTGTGTGTGGAGGAGGAGGGAGGTGGGGTTTGTAAGGACACAAGTTTCCATTTTCCCTGAAGTTCAGCTTTTTCTCCTGGCCAGAGGCAGCTCTGCCCTGTCCCTGTTGTTTGTGTACAGACTCAGTCTGAGCAAAGAGCAGCCACATTTGTATGCTGGGCTGTCCTGCAGCACAGCAAGATGTGATATTCAGCAGCACAAAAAGAGCACTGGCACAGGGCTGATGCTCTTATAACTTTGCATCATTTAATTACTGCTGCTGCTGCTGAATGATCTTGTGTTTTACCCTGCCCTGACCTCGGGGCTTCAGTGAATGAAACCAAGAGCAATTAGAAAATGAGAGTTGCTGGGTGGCACCATGAAGTCAGGAATTGAAGCCTAATGAAGCTGAAGAGTTTCTTCACTGGCTTTAGTGAGTTTTTGCCTTGATGTGATCAGTAGCTTATGGGAGATGTCTATAGTCGTGTTAATAGGTTAAGGAATATGTATCTCCTTGGAATTAATCCTCTGAGGTTGCTCCAATAAGTAGTTCTGTACCAGTGGCAGTAATGAAGTTTTTCTTGCAGCTCTCTCCACTGAGGAATCTGGTTTGACTTGCACTTGAAAAAGTGGATTATTTTTCAGATGAGCTACTAACATGAATGTTTCTTCTCCCCAGTCTCCTGGTTTTCCAGAATCTCTAGAAACTTCTGTCTTATTTAGTAGGTACTGGCCAAGAGGTTCAATTTGCAGGATGAGGGAGGTGGAGGACACTGAGCAAGAGACATTCAGGTGGAAAACTGAGTGGGTTTTTCCTGTAAAGTCTGTGTTACCTTTCACAGTTCATCCAGCCAATGCAGTCCTGGGAAAAGCACCCCAAGGAGCTGGGGACTCTTGCTTTGGAATTTATCTCCCCAAGAAATGGGCCTGTCCACTGAGTATTTGCTGTAAGAAGACAAACACACGTGTGAGGGAAGCCTGTTTACCTAAAAAGTGAAAGTTTGATAACAGGTGTCCATTGATTCATTTGTCTTTCACACTCCTTTTCTTTTTCCTTTCCCTCCCACCCCTTCCAGATTTACCAGGAAGTTGAGATGTTTCTTTTCTGTGCCACTGCCTGTGTCCAGCTGGAATCCAGGAGCTGCCACTGCAGTGCCTGCAGGCAGACAGTGCTGAGCTCCCTTTCTCCCCAGCAATTCCCTGCTCAGGGCCAGCTCTGATGGAAGGTGTGGTTAGCTGGGGACTGAGGGAGAAGCATTTTCACAGAACAGACCCAACTGCATCTCTCCTCTTGGTGCTTTTCAAAAGCTGTGCTCTGCAGCTCAGCTGGGCACTGCTCCGTGGCTCAACAAGCCCTGGTGATAACAGGAGCTAGAAATGACATTTGTCCAGGTTCCTTGGCCCAGTGGCTCTGAGAGAGACTGGCAGCCCTTGTGTTTTGAGGCTCCCAGAGTTACAGCCCCTGAGCAGAGCTCTGGGTGTCCCTCATTCCCCTGGCAGTCTGTGCTCTGCCTGCCTGCCTCCCACCCATGGCAGGGGATGACTGCAGGGTTCTGAACTGAACACACCATTTCCAAGTGGCTTCTGGGTCTCAGAAGCTTCTGCTTGTGGCTCAAGGCCAGCCTAGATGGGGCTTGGAGCAACCTGGTCTAGTGGAAGGGGGTTGGAACTGGGTGATCTTTAAGGTCCCTGCCAACCCAAACCATTGTATGATATTTGTGCTGCTGATTTTGCCCTTCAGCTTTAACTGAAGCCTTCTCTCCTGGGGAGGTGATCTGACAGGCAGCCTCTCTTGCCTGGTTTGAAATCTCGTGTTTCCTCATGACCAGAAGACACTCTTTGCCTTTCCAGCCCAGTAAACTTCCCTCCTTCTTGATGCCCCTGCCCAGAGCTGTGTGAGGCTGTATTTATAACTGCAGAGAACAGATTGAGAGCTCTGTTGTAACAAATGGATTTTACATTTTGTACCATCAGTTTTTTCCCTGGTAATGGCGTGTCCTTAATCTTGTCAGGGAACAAGCACCCAAAAGATTAAGGGTTTAATTCTCTATACATCACATTAACAGGGAAGTACCAGAGCACTGTGAAGTCGCCTCATTAAGGTGAGACAGAGGGATGAGCATGAAAAATGCAAGTTATAAAGGAGAGAGTAATTTAGGAAGGGAAGTGGAGCATGGACTTGGCGTGTGCTCCGCTGTGACACCTGATGTTGTGCCATTCCCCTGTCACACGCTGCACATTCCTTCATCTTTTCCAGCACTTGCTGTCTCCCGTGGGCCAGCTGGGTCATTCATTTCCAGAGCAGAGCTCTTCATCCCTCTCCCCACTGCCAGAACCCCCCTGCACACCCAGAGCCTCAGTGGAGCCCGGGGGGGGCAGAGCTGGGGCACCCAGGGCAGGCTCTCACTGCCCACATTCCAGTTGCAGCTCCTTGATGGAAAGCTCTGGCCTTGGAAACGTTCACCCCCAGCAGGCTTTTCTCTCTTGCAGTTGTTGTTGTTGTTATTTAGGAAGACCCTTGTCCTACAGAGGGGAGGACACCTCAGTGTGGGATGCCAAGGTTTGTCCTCCCTTGGGCGGGTTCTGCCCCTTCCACCTTGGCTGTGTCTGAGTAACAATATTCCCTTTTTCTTTCCAACAGTCTTGTGGATTCCTCCAGCATTTCTGGCACACACTCTGCAATAATTTTTGCTCCTTTTGTTCTCTGACGTGGTATCACTAAGCAGTGACGCAGCTGTGCCTAACCCAGGTCATAACCCAGTGCTTTCTGTGGTTTAATATTCTTATTTTCCAGGCGGTTTTACTGTCTCCCCAGTGTTTCTGATGTATACTGGCTAATTTAATTTTGCTCCTATTTTATTTAGTCTGTAATTCTGTTGTTGATTTTTTTCCCTTGCCCATTGTTTACATCAGTTTTTTAATTTTTTTGTATTTTCCATGTGACCTCCTCCACTTTCCTTTCAACCAAATCATGTGCGTGCGTATCATGTGACTTTGTCATGTGGCTTGCATGGTGCTGCTGATGTCGTCCTCGCTGGTGAACAGAAGGTAAAACACTTTGTTCTGATTGGTTGCCTAGATTTGGGGTGAGGACTCCCCTCTGGTCACCGACCAGGGAGCTCCAAATTCCGTCACTCCACAAATCCTCCCACGAGCCCCTTTGGAGAAGTTGCTCATCACTTTGTCTGCATGTGAAGGACTCCACTTCTGCATTAACTCCACCTCAGGCTCCTGCACTGAGCTTGGAAAAAACCTGGAGGGAAAACAAAAAAAAAACCGAGGCAAAAATCCCCTGGCTCGGTCATTTGCTTCTTCACTCAGAGTCCAGCAAGGAGCTGCCCAGGAAGGTTCTGGAACACTCTCTGGAATGAACACCAGTGGCCAGAATCCCTTTGCCCCTCAGGGTACCAACCACAGGCTGGTATTTGATGGGGGGTTGTGGCAACACCACCTCTCCTGTGGCTTTAGCAGCATTTTGCCCCTGTACAACACACATTTGTGGAGGTGTATGTATATATATATATTTATATGTATATATACACACATTCACACTGCACATGTTTAGCAGCCTTCCAAAAGAATCCTAAATTCTCTGTCTCTGAGATCTAGTTATTGGGAATACATGTCACATTGAGATTTAAGAAATAATATTTTCTACTGTGAGTAAAACTTTAGCACAGCTCGAATGGGAGCTCTGCTATAAAATACTGTATGTATACACTATAATATAGATATAATGCCATCTATGGTATATATACTATGAAATAGCACACCCAGAGTTCATGATGGGAGCTCCACCTCACACAGTTTCCATCAGAGGTGCTGTTGAAACTTTCTTGCTGCCCCACCCCTGGAGTATCTGGGAGCCTGGCAAGGATTTAACCCAAATTCATGTCAGAGTAGCTGCTGATCTCCATGAAATCAAGAAGCAAATGACTGACCCCTGCAGCTCCTGGAGCTGGAATCAGCCTCCAAGTGAAGTGTGTGGCAGTGACAACAGTTCCTGCAGCGTTGGGATTTTTACAACTTTGCTTCATGCTCTGCATAACCTGAAGGGGAGGAGGGAGGGAAACTCTTCTGCTGCCCCAGCTCAACAAGGGACTGGGAAAACCAGGAAGCAATTGGCTTTTTTTTCAACCTGTGAATTCTGAGCTCACCTTATTGTCTTGGACAATCCAGGAAAGGATTTAGGCTGGGGTTTGCCAGGAAAACAGAACTAACACCAGTAACCTTCCCACATGACTGCATGCACAGAGGAAACCCCTCTTCCCTGGGTCTCTGCCCTCTCTGGTTGGACTCCAGGAGGGCTGAAGACTTGGTTGTCTCGTTTTTGCATGTTTTTTGTTCCTTCTTTTTGACTGTTGGTGTTTTGCTTCTCTTGTGTGCATTCTGAAACCTCCTGAGCTGTTCTTTCTCTGTATTTACCACTCGTGGAGACTTTCCCTGGTGTCTCTTTCCAGTTGTGACTGCTCAGGTCACAATCTACTCCTGTTTACACAATGGTCAGAGATTGCAGAAATCAGCTCCTTCCTTGTTCCTGTGTGGCAGAAATTACCCTCAACAGCAGTTTGTAGTCTCTAAGCACAGCAAGGATGCAGGATCTTTCCTTGGTGCCAGCTGGGCGAGGATTTAAGCTCAGCCTAAATAGTTCTGCAGTGTCTGGTGGCCAGTTTGAGCTGCTTTCCCAGGTGGGCAGAGGAGAGGTGTGATAAAAGGTGTCTCACCTGCACTGCTGTCACTTCTGGGGTCCAGCACACACTGAGTGCCCTGGCACCAGGGAGAAGTTTGTGCTGATTGTTTTCATATTCTCCCCCCACCTGAAGTTTTCCTGCACTCCTGGTGCTTGTGGCACCCTCTGAAAACCAGGGAATAATAATAAAACCAGCTGCTGAAACCCAACTCCATCAGACTGGCAGTAGGTCAAGGAAGCACTGAGTGTAAACTGAACAGTGCAAGGGTACCAGGAGCCATTTACTGCTGCCCTGCAGCAGGAGATTGTTGGTGCTGATGGCTTAGCAGGAGTGGATAAAACCCCATTTGGAAGCGTAAGAGCACTGTCCTCAGCTCCCCTCACACCATGTGTGGGAGCCAGCAGGGAGTGATTCAGCCTTTGGGAGCCTGCAGGAAAGTCCTGATTTCATGTACAGATCAGATTCACTCTGAGCTACCTCTGGAGCCCAGGGAAGGGATGACTGAGCTTCCCTCGGGATGTGTGCCCTGCCAGGGCAGTGCCAGCATCACTGACCCCTCCTGGAGGCACAGTCCTGCTTCCTCAGCACAGCCAAGCACTGGAGAGCTCCTTTCTGAGAGTTAAAGGAGGGCACATCTCTTGGCTTCTCCCACAGGCTGAAGCACTGTTTGGATTGCTTTTGTCCTGGAGAGTGTCCTGTGGGTGAAGTTGGGCTCGGGCTGGATCCCCCAGCAGTGTGGAAGCCCAAGGTCCTGCGTCCCTGCTCCTGCAGCAGAGTGGGTTGGAAGCAGATGTTTGGAAAATGAGGATCCAGAGGAAGTCTGGTGTGTCTGGAGCTGGTGGCTCTCACTGAGCCCCAGGGGGATTCCTCAAGGACCCCACATTCTGTGGAACGTTAAGGCTGGAAAATGCCCCTGAGGAGGTGGAAGGGGCAGATTTCTGCAACGTGCCCAGCGAGCTGGGTGTGAGTGGGAGCTCCCCAGGCATGAGGCCCCCCTGTAATGCTCTTTGCCTTTCAGCCCCGGGCTGGAGGGAGGATGCATGTCTGTGAGCATGAGCTGCTTCTCTAACCTGCTGGTGACAACCTTCTCTCTTCAGCTACTGACATCTTCACTCATCCTGGGGCTGCTGATTCTGCTGGACTAAACTCTCCCCACTAAACTTCTTCCTCCTTTGTTTGACACACTAACCCAGTTTTCATTTTACAGCCCCGTTGTATCTGGATTACATCCACCTGCTTAAGAGAAATGAAATGCCATGTAATTATGGAGAGAAAGCTGAAGTATTTTCAGCAGGGCTTGCTCTACTCCTCCTGCTGGGTGTCAGCCCTGAGGAGTGCTCAGTGTTCTCCTCTTTGAACAGAATAGTTTCTCAGGGCAGGAGGGAATTGAGGTACTGGGGAAGGAAGGAATCAGGAATTAGAAATCAGGCAATTCAAAGTGAAGAAAAGGTTCAGCAGAGAAGGTAATTAATCATGGGAATGGCTGTGTATAAAGAGCAGCAGCATCTCTGACATTTAAAATCAAGAACGAGCATCTTTTCAAAGGATGTTCCTCTTAGTCTTGGTGCTCAGTCACCGGAAAAAAAGATCCATCCTGTGTTAGATAAAAGGTCAAATTCTGTAAGTACAGTGTTCCCTTATCATTCCAGATTCTCTTTACTTATTGCTCATTATCTCCCTGAGGTGAGGGTGGCAAAGAGCCCCAGGAGATGCTGATCTTGCCCTGCCCAGCTGGCAGTGACCCATTGCTCACACCCACAGAATTGCTGCTCTGGAATGGCTCAGCACAGGCTCAGTGGCCAGGAATTGTTCCCAGTTGTTACTGGGAGCTGGTTTCTTGTGTAAAAAAACCCTATAGAACCAGACATTTGGGTTTGTTTAATTACTGGTGAATAACCAGTGTTGTTGCAGAGTAGCTTCTTAACTCAGTGGTCAGAACCTGTAACTTTGTGGTGATGTTTTTCTTTTAGGATTGAGGAAAGAAAAAGAAAATACAATTGCTTGGTTAATCTGATGTGTCCCAGGGTGGAATCCAGCTCTGCAGTGTCCAGCTTCTATGGGGGAGCCTTGTAAGGGGGGCATAGACAGAGCAAGGGTTTGGAAAAGCAAAATAAAACCTGGGAAAAGGGAACATGGCCTCTGTACATCTTTAACAGAAGTTGCTGTGTTGTGAAACACAGTTGTGTGTGTCTCCCATGGGGGTGTCCATGGGTGGTAATTGCCTTCTGGGAGCAGCTGGGATGTTAGAGCATGTGAGAGTGTGCAAGAAAATGGAATTAATCTTAAATTACTGTGTCAGTCCAGGCCTTGCAGTTTTCTCATTGATGTTTCACCAAACAAAATGTGCTCAAATCCTTTCTTTGGCCAGGAATGGGGAGGGGGAAGGGTTTCAGATTACTAATGAAGATCAACTTCTGAATTATATTGGAAGATTAACTTTTCTCTGGCCAGTCAGAAATGCATGTGCTTCCCATTAGGAGCTGAATACAAATCCAGACAGAACAGATTTAGAATTGGGGATGGGTTTTGGGTTGATCTTAGTACAACTGGCTTATTATTTCCTTTCACTTTTAGTAGTATTGAATAGAAATAAGTCTTTTAAAAAAGTTTTATTCTCAGCAGCAGGCTGAGCTTTAAAAAAAGTCACAAATGTTACTTCAGCATCCAATTTTGATCTCATTTGCTCCTCCTGAGGTGGCAGATCTCACTGTTGCAGAGTTCTGGTGTCGTTCCCTGTGGGATACCTTGAGAGCTGGATCATTTGTGAGCTGTATTTCACCTCACTTTGGTGTATCTGGGAGTGTGTGTTCAGGAACAATGTCCCTTTTCAGTGATGCTCTTTAGATCCACGTCCCACAGGAGCAGCCTGGTTGCCACATCCCCCACCTTGGTGTTTTCAGGATGTTCCACATCAGTTTTTGCAGCAGAAGTCGAGAGGATATATCTGGTCATGGCTCCGGGATATTCCTGGGGAAGGGGGGGGCCTTTGTCACTCAGCCTCTGCTTCCAGCACCCACAAAAATGGGAACTTGTGCTGGTGAAACAAACTGCCCAGTGCAGGGAATCCTTGGCTCTGGCAGATATTTGTGCCCCAGACACCCAGAGTGTTGGGCTCAGGATGGCTCTGATACCCCCAGGGCAATGAACTATTCCTCTGACTTTTGAGCACTTTTCCCCCAATGGTTTTTTTTTTTAACAAACCAACCTGAATCCCCCCTTGTTCCAGGGGAACCCAGCGCTCCCAAGCTGGAAGGGCACATAGGAGAGGATGGGAACTCCATCAAGGTGAACGTCATCAAGCAGGACGACGGCGGCTCCCCCATCAGACACTACCTGATCAAGTACAAAGCTGTGAGTAGGACCCCCCCAGCCTGTCCCCTGCCCCCTGGGCAGCCACACAGCCCTAAAGCTGGGTCTGCTAGGCCAGGCCGGGCTGGGAATGGAATAGGGGTGCTCAATCAGGCCAGAGCTGTGTTAAGAGGTAAATCTCTGTCACTCAAATGATTTAAATTTGACATGCTAAGATAGGTAAGAACACTCTTAAAGTGCTTTGTGAGGTAGAGAAGCTGCAGCTTTTGCCCCCCTGAAAGTGGTCTAATGATGGGGCAAAGATGAGAGGAGGAAATGAGGGATTTTCTTTGGGTGTGGTAATTCAGGAAACAGGATTCTGGGCAGGAAAGAGGCTGTTTTGGTCTCTCTCATCCTCTCCACTTAGAGAGGAGGTTTTCACAGAGTAGTTGGGGTCAGAAGGGACCTCTGGAGTTTATCCAGTCCAAGGCAGGGTCACCTGGAGCAGGTGGCACAGGAACACATCCAGGTGGGTTTGGAATGTCTCCAAAGAGGGAGACTCCCCGCCCTCCCTGGGCAGCTCTTCCAGGCTCTGCCCCCCTCCAGGGGAAGAAGTTCTTCCTCGTGTTGAGGTGGAACTTGTGCTCTGGTTTATGGCCACTGGGCACCACTGGGAGGGGTCTGGAACCATCCTCTGAGCCCCCTGGGAGCTGTTTGAGTGGACTGATGGGACACAGATGTGATGCTCTGCCCTAACTGAGGGCACAGATGTGATGCTGTGCCATAGCTGAGGGACACAAATGTGATGCTGTGCCATAGCTGAGGGACACAAATGTGATGCTGTGCCATAGCTGAGGGACACAGATGTGATGCTGTGCCCTGGCTGAGGGACACAGATGTGATGCTCTGCCCTGGCTGAGGGACACAGATGTGATGCTCTGCCCTAACTGAGTGCTGCCTGCTGGTGCTGCAGCCTCCTGTCCCCATGCCCAGCCCCCTGAGAGCTGTGCAGGCTGGCTGCTGACCCGGGGCTGTGTCTCCCTGCCTGTCCCTGCCCTGCAGAAGCATTCCTCGGAGTGGAAGCCGGAGATCAGGCTCCCGTCGGGCAGCGACCACGTCATGCTCAAGTCCCTGGACTGGAACGCCGACTACGAGGTCTATGTGGTGGCAGAGAACCAGCAGGGCAAGTCCAAACCCGCCCACTACGCCTTCAGGACGTCTGCCCAGCCCACTGTCATCCCAGGTACGCCCGGCACAGCTTTTTGTTGTTTTCTGCTTCAATTAATGCACCGGTGCTGCCTCCTTTAATGTGCCTGAGTAACCCTGAGACTCGCTTGCTTCCAGCCCATCGATCACGGTTGGTTCCCCATCCAAAGCTCAGTTCTGGCCTGAGTGTACATACCTGTGCTCCGTGTTCCAGTATGTACAGCAGGGAGTGCTCCTGACAAACCCCTGCCTCACTGTTCCCAGGGAGGGCTGGCTTTCTGTGGCTCAGGATTTGCCAGATGAGACTTTCTCTGGGCTCAGAAAGTGCGGGGCCCGTTTTAAACTCTTTCTATCTGTGGGGCAATCTGCAATCACAACGCAGGTTTCCCCCCCAGATCTGCTCTGGGCTTGCTTTTACTGCTTGTTTGTCCATCCAGCTCAGCCTTTGGAGGAATAAAGGCATAAGGAGGTTTGCTAGTGGTTGGGAAAGGAGACAGTGAAAATCTCTTTATTAAATGAAATGGAGATCAAATGATCAAATTACAGTAATTTTCAAACAGCACCTGCTTAATGTTGGGGAGGGAATTCGGAAAAATCACTAAAACGAATTATTAGAATGCTGCTGGAAGCTCTTGTTTCAGACAGACTTTACTCATTAGTGTGCTTAAAAAGTGAGGTTTAAGGACAATTGCTGTGAAAACCAAGCAGAACTATCAGCTGGGCTGCAGGAACTGAGCAGTTTGCAAGGTGTGGAAAGGCCAGTCAGAATTTCTTCTCTACATGTGGACATCTAAAAAAAAAAAAATGGGTGGAAGAAACCCACACAAAGCAACCAAAACCTCAGGATGGAATTGCTGGGCTACCTGTACCTGAAAGTTGTGCTGGTTAAAGACAGGGCAGTTTTAAAGATCTCCTGAGTCAGGTCCTCACTGCACAGCCAGAGTTCCTGCCAGGGTTGGTGCTGACAGTCCACGCTGAGGGGAACGATTTGATTCCATTCTGTCTTCCAGATTAACTCAGTCTCGTGGTTTTCCTTCAGAACAACTGTTTTCTTTCCCTTGCCCTGAGAACTCAGCCCTTGCTCTGCCCCCTCCTTTGCCCCCTCCCTGCCTGGCTGAAGGGAACAGCTGAGACCTTGTGCAGTGTGGATGCTGAAGTCCCTGGTTGAGGCACAGGAGGATTTGTTAAGCATACAAATGAGTGACCCAGTTGGACAGTGTGTGTGGCAGGGAGGAGGAGGAGGGAAACAGGGCCAAAGAGAGGCTGGGGGGGCTGTTTGAACAAGGCTGGAGTTTTGGGTGGAAGAACCCTCAGTAACTCATTAAGCAACTTACTCTCTGATTCTCATTTTCAACAGCTCTAATACTGACTCCCCTCACCCATTTGAAGGACAACTGTGGCTGGTGTGGCAGCAGAGGGTGAGGGTGGTTTGGCAGAGGGTGCCCTGAGGTCAGTTCAGAGCTGAGCAGCCAAACCCCGAGGTTGGGACAGCAGTGAGTGGTTCCTTTGCCCTGGGATGTGTCTCCCCAGTTAAGTCACGAGCACTGATCAGTCTTTCTGTTCCACCACGGTCCTCTGTGTGCAGCCACTGCTGATTTCTTGTGCTGGTGTTTTATTTTAGCCTTTGTCACGTGCCCCATGGGACAGCAAAGCTCCTGGGACAGCTGGGAGGGGCCTCAGCAAAGTTTGGGAGTGCTGTTGGCTCTGGAGCACACAGGGATAGTCTGGGAGTGCTGTTGGCTCTGGAGCACAAAGGGATAAAGTCTGGGAGTGCTGTTGGCTCTGGAGCACACAGGGATAGTCTGGGAGTGCTGTTGGCTCTGGAGCACACAGGGATAAAGTCTGGGAGTGCTGTTGGCTCTGGAGCACACAGGGATGTGCTGTAGTCCAGGGCAATGGGAGGGGTAACGAGCTCAGATGCCACTGAGCCCTTTAAATCCAACAGTAACGTGGGCAGGGACCCTCTGAAAAACGGGCAGAAAAGCCCAGTTTGTTGTCAAAGGTGGAAGTTCTCTGTCCTCTCTGGAGTTCCCCCTCCCTTAGGCTGGTGTGGAGTGCAGGAGGAACCAGGATTCGAGGCTGCTGCTCAAATGTTGCACTTGGAAGTGTCAGAAGCACTTGGAAGAGCAGTTTTTGGGAGTGCAGATGTGCTGCAGGATTGCCCCAGCAGCTGGATGCAGCTGTTCCTCAGAAGGTGCTGGCAGAGCCCTGAGCAGTGACGTGCTCAGAGCTGGCTTTGGGGCTCTGTCTCTCGGGGTTTTTGCCATTTTGGCCTCGCAAGGTGTTTCCAGACCCTTTGGTTCCCTGAGCTGATCCCCAACCTAACAGCATGAAGGAGAATATTTTCAGGGAGCAGGTTTTCTGCTGGCTCTAGTGCCAGCCTGCAGCAGGGAAGGGGCTCTGGGTGTTCCTTCCCTTCCTCTTTTTGTTTTCCTGGCGTTTTGCTTTTACAGTTTGATTTCAAAAGGAGCCACACAGGGCAAGTCAGAGCCAGTGCCTCTCACATGGCTTTGGTAACAACAGCTGGGAGTTCCCTGCAGACCAGATGTGTGTTTATTTGTCATGGAGAGCCCTTTGTTACCATCCTCTGCACAGTGTGGCTGGAAGGAGAAGGGCACTGTTTTCAGTAATAACAATAACAGTAATTGCACTGGAGTGGTTCACAGGCAGCTGAAGGGAACAGTCAGGGTATTCCTGAGACCTTGGTGCTTCCTCAGGGTTTTAGTCACCTGGATATATCCAAGTCCAGGCTTTGGGGCAGGGCTTGGCCAGGCAGGTGGATTGTCTGCTCCACAAAAGCTTTTCTTCCCTTTATTTTGTCGGTGTAAAAGGCAGCGTTGTCCTTTCAAATACCAGATAACCACTTCCTTGTGTTTCTTGCTGAGCCTTCTGTTCCATCAGTCTTAATCTCATTTGCTTGCAAACCCCTCAGCCCTGCCTTGGACCCTGCTCTGCAGCTTTGGGCTTTGCTGAGCTTCTGCCCCAGCCCTTTTGTGGTGAATGTGCTGATCCTTGAACCCCTTGAGCCATTTTAATTTACGAAATTAAATAGACCTTGGATTCTTATGTTTTCTATATTTATGACCTAATTTTTTTTATCTATTTTTCTCTCTTTCTCTCTCTCTCTTTCTTTCTTTTTTTCTTCCTCCTCCTTTCTTCCCTCCCCTCTCCCTTTTTTTCCCCCCCCTTACCCTTTCCTATGTCTGTCGTCATACATGTCACCTTGGATCTCACGGGACACATCCACGCTTGCCACATGCACCAAATTTGTTTTTAAACAACCATATTTTCCCCTCCTGGGAACCATTGTCTGGCACCTGCAGCGACCTTGGGAAGTCCATCAACGTCGTCCTCCTTTGTTTCATTGCTTCTCTCTGCAGTGACTCTGCTTTTGCTCTGTTAGAAACTTAAAAAAGAAAACGAAATAAAGCAATATTTGCTTGAAAAGGTCCCACCAAGGTGTGAAAGCAGATAACTTTGCTTCAGAGGATCATGTCAGTTCAGAGAAAAAAAAAAAAAGAAACAAACACAGAACACTTTAAAAAAAAAATGTTTAATTTGAAAGAGTCAGTATTTTGTAACAAGGAAAAAAAGGTTTAAGCCGAGTTTTTTCTCTTTAACATTTTTTTTGGTTACTTGTAATGAATTTGCCCTTTTTAATGGATGTAAAGAAAGAATTTTTTTTGGTGTTGTTTGCTTGCTCTTTTCATCAAAGGAAGGTACAATGGTGAAAGCCTTTAAGATTCTGCTTTTTACTGATTTCTCTGCACATTTGGTGCTGACCATCACTGTCTTGTGCAAAAAGCTTTCTAAAGGCCCAGCCACGAGTCTGAACCTGCAGATTCTAAAGAGAAACAGAAGATTTGTCTGAGACCATCCTGCTGCTTGCCCGAGGGTCTCGGGGGGCTTTGGCTCGTGGACTCCCAGCTGTGGCCAGTGGAGGGTTCTCCTGATGTGCTGAGTAGGAACCTGTGGTGGGAATCACACTGAGGAAATTCTTGTTTCCATTCCCCCTGGCCCTGAAGCCCTGGGAGCACCCTGGCCCTGGGGTGCAGGCAGGGCTGGGCACGAGGCAGCCCCTGCCCCCCAGAGCTGCACTGGATGCTTGTCTAACACCTCCTGGTCCCCACTGCTGCATTGCCACCCTCACAGAGATCCCCTTCCTTGGCACTTTAACAGAAAAGCTTAGTTACCTGCCCAGCTAAATTATTATTATTATTATAACTACTGATCCTCCATACTATTGCTGGTTAACTGTGCATGTGACACTGCCAGGCAGGGTTATTAATCCACGGTGTGAACTGCTGCAACAGGAGCATCTTTGCTGCCAACTGCTGGGTGTTGCATTTCTGCATTTGAGCAAATTCCAGGTGACTTTTTTTCCTTTGCTCCTTACTTTTTAAAAAAAACCCCAAACACCACGTCCCGTTCCCCCCCCCCAAAAAAAAACCCACACCAAAAAATCCAACCCAACACCAAACCCAGTGCCCCTCATGAATTTTCTTGGTGATGGGAAATCCCTTTGGCTCTAATGCTCTTCTGTAAATGGGGTCTCTCCTTTCTGAGTGGGGCTGAGGTGGCCAGGGATGAAATTGTTGACTCAGTTGTTGAACTGTCTGTACAGAAAGTCTCAAATGCTCTTGGCTGGATGGGATTAATCTCTCTAACAGAATCCTTTTAGGGACAAACAAAACCCTGCCCGCAGTCGTTTTCTGCTCTGCACATAAATCTCTGCTGTGTTTATTCAGACCTTGTTCATCATGATTTGTGAACTGCTTTTCTACCTAAATTATAAATGAAAAACTTGGTGCAGGTGTTGCACATAAAAGCCTGTGGATTTCTCTCTTTTTTTTTTTTTTTAGAAAACCCTCATTTTCAGTGTTTTAGAGCGTAGAGAACGTGTGACATCTTCTGAGTTTACACCTTAGTGGTACTGAAAAGTAAATCACTGTGAAGTGATTACAGCAAAGTAATCATAATACTAAAAAGTGGTGTGATTTCCCCTGTAACTGAGCTAATCAAGGTCGTTTGTAGATCTGCTGTCAGCTCTTTGTGGGTCTCTCCTCCTCTGCAGAGGGAGGTTGTTAGCTGAGGCTGAGATGGATCTCACCCAAGTCACAGTTATTAAAATTACCTTGGATAGACTCTAACTGGACAGTGTGGTGTGGAGAGAGCAGCTCTGGGGAGGTTGTTCTGGCCAAGGAGAGGTGCCTTGGGCAGGGGGGTTTGAGGGGCTCCTCTGCCAGACAGGCAGGTGAGAGAGCATTTATGTGGCTGAAGTTACTTAGGATTAATCTCCTATTCAACAGCAAACAGGAGTCTGGGCAGCATGGAATATATGCAGGAAGGGCTTCTTTCTCTTGCAGACCTGAGGGTTTGGGTGACCTGCTGGTGGCCTGGAGGGGCTGCAGGGAAGGTGCAGAGAGACAGGAGTGGCAGAGCCCAGGGAATGGCTGCCCTCTGCCAGAGGGCAGAGTTGGTGGGATGTTGGGGAGGAATAGGAATTCCTGGCTAGAGGGTGGGAGGCCCTGGCACAGGTTGCCCAGAGGGGCTGTGGCTGTATCTGGATCCCTGGAAGTGTCCAAGGCCAGGCTGGAACAACCTGGGCTGGTAGAAGGTTTGAGGGCAGGAGGCTGTAAAACCCATCACCCCTCCTTCCAGGGACACTCAGATCAAAGCTGTTGGCATCCACTGAGAACAAAGAGCTTCTCTCCTGGGTTATGGGGGTATTTTTGGGTGGGTTTTTTTTTTCTGATGCATGAAATGAATTTTTATTTGTTTTGTTTGTACTCCTTTCTCTTGCCAAATACTGTGGGACTTCTGAAATGCCTGGAATCATACCTGCTCCTCTCCATCCCTTTCTGTCTCCTTGTCTGCCTGTGCCTGAACATTCCCTAGCTGAGACCCCACTAGGAAGACACAGCTGAGCTCTCTCTGGCAGTGTCTGTAAAGCTGAGCTGCAGAAAGGAAAATCCGTGGGTCATTTTGTTGTACACTGTAAAATGAGGGTGTTAGAAAAGTCAGTCTTGCAGGAAGCTCATTTTCCATTGGAAAAAAAAAATTAATTTGTAATTAATAAATTCTTCACTTCTTTAGAATTAAGGACTCCAGAAGTTTTTTAATGTTTTGTGTTTCCTTATTTAACTTGTGGAAATGTTATTCCTCTTAGTCCTGAGAATAGCAAAAGGGGATTAATGGAAAGGTTGAATGTGCTCTGGATCAGGTCAGAAATGTCCAACATCTATTTATTACATGTCCTCTCATACACAGTGTGAGCAGCTGGTGCTCAACAGTGACTATTTATTTATACATTTCTTTTCTACACAGAATTGTTTTAGACCCCAACAAACTCTTTAGGGATGTCTAAATATTAGTTTCCTGAAATAAAACCTAAATTCTGCTACAGAATGGAGTCAATAGTTCCTAGAAGCATTTGTAGATCAATTTAATTTAATCAGATGTGACAGTCTGTGAAAATGAATAACACACCACATGCTTTCTGCATTTTATAGCAACAGCAAAATTCCTTTGCAAAATCTATACAGGAAAAAGAAATGCAGCACCAACAGCCTCCAAGTTCAAGGGGTCATGGAGGATTCTTAAATTATTCTTCCTTACTGCTGGTCTCTGAAGGATTTGGAATATCAATTCATGTCATGAATTAGAATTTATGATACTCAGCCAGCAGAAGAGGTTTGGAAGTTCCTGTAAATTGCAGGGCTTTCTTACTAGCCCAGAAGAAACCAAATTGCAGGCGATTACCTGGCCCAGTTTGATTGTCTGCAGTGCAAAATGTAAGAACAGCACAGAACCAAGGGTGTTCCCTGCAGGTTTGCCCCAGATCTCCCCACCCCGGGGGCAGAGGGGCACAGAATGGGCTGGAAGGGAGGGGGAGACCAGGAGGGGGGGCTTGTGCCTGCTCAGGAGCTCTGCTTTGGGTGTTCAGAGGGAACAGGGTCGTTTTGGGGCCGTCAGAGCAGGAATGGGGGCTCTGGGGATGGTGGAGCCTGGTGGGGTTTGGACCCTTGTGCAGAGGGTTCAGGGTTCCAGGGCACTGACTCTGCTCCAGGTGACAGCACAGCCACTGTGACCTGGGAGCTCTTGGCAGTTTTGGGGATACAATTCCATGCATTATTCCTGGGCTGAGCTCCCCCACCCTCTGTTTCCAGCTTTAGAACCTTGTCTCTTCACTCCAATGAAGATATTTGATTTATTCCACGTCCTGTTCTGCTGCAGGTGGGGCTGCAGTGACCTCAGCCAGCCCTTTCTGAAGTCACACTGGCTGAGTTTCCAAGAATTGATCATTTTAATTCTTTCCCCACGACTGTGATGTTTCCCTGATTCATCTGTGAGTCACAGACAAGGTGTGGGCAATGCACAAAAACTGCAGGGCTCTCGAGGTGGTTTGTGCCACAGATAATTCCTGCCTTTGAGGGGCCTTTGGCTGATGCTGGCAGGTCTTGGCAGGGAGAGGAAGCAAAGAGCAGGACTCTGTTTGAATGGAATTTTCCAGGAGGTGTTTTCTAGCACATGGAAGTCCCAGGATGAAATATTTTTGTGACATCCAACTGTAAAACGTGGTAGAAATTACTAGAATTGCATCTTAATTGAAAGAAAAACCAGAATACTCCTCTGAGTGATGACAACTATGATGCTCTTGCCTGTCTCAGGAATCATCAGCTCTGTCAGAGGCACAAGCCTTTGCTGAGGGCACAGTCCTGTCCTGGGAGGTAAATTATGTGATGGCTGAGACCAACCAGCAGGTTTGGAGTGGTTTGGTACCTCTAAATAAGTGTTGAACTGTATGAGCCACCAACCAAATGCTCTGCCTGCAGATGGGCAGCTTGGCAGGAGTTGTTCTGAACAGAACAAGGGGAACACAAAGCACCTGGTGCTCAGGGGGTGATAGAAGGAGCCTGCAAAGCTGCAGCTGTGCCTGCTGGTTTGGACAGGACTCACTGGTGTGTTTATCCCCTCCCTGTCTCTAAGGAAAGGCTCAGCAGTTTAGAAGTAGGAAGTTAAACTCCACTTGCCCTGGAGTTAGTGCTGTGTGGGCAATCCCATATAGAGCATTTCCTGGGCCTCCATCCCCACCTCTCACCCACTGTCCCTCTCTCTCCTGGAAAAGGCAAGGTATTGTTTTCTGTTCTGCAGCTGGGGAGAGGTGGTGGAGATGGGCTGTGGAGGAGCAGGGAGTGCTGGGGCCAGGGCAGCCCCAGCAGAGTGGCAGAGCTGCTTCTCTTTGCCTCCTGCTTCCTCAGAAGGCTCTTGGGCTGTGTGTCCCTCAGCCAGAACACTCCTGAGCACTCCCTGTGAGCTCAGCTGCCTCTGGATAAGCCATGGACAGTTCACCCCTCCCCAGGTCTGCACAGCTGGGTCTTCCCTAAGCTGCAGGAAGGGGTTTAACTCCTTCCAGTTCCACCACATTAAGGGGCTCACCGACACTGAGGCCCCGCAGGTATCACCCAGTGGTTTGTGTCCCACCTGGGCAAGTCCTGCTGCAGAGTCTGGGCTTTACTTCCACTGGTTTTTGGGCCAGGTTGGCAGTGCCAAAGCCACTCTGGACCCCAGACACAACCTCTTGAGGAGGTGGTGGAAGGAAGCTGGAGCCCTTCAGTGTCCCAGCTGGGTGTGTGCCATGGCAGAAGAGGCTTCTGCTGTTTGCTTTCCAGGCTTTACCCCAACAGAGATGGGCAAAGCCCTGTCAGGACCACGGGAATCCATCTTTTGAGGTTGTCCTGCATAGGATAAAGCCCAGGTTATAACACAAGGCTGCTAGAGAGAGGGTGAACCTTCTGAAAGCCTCCTGTGCCTGTCACCTTAAGTGCAGCCCAAATCAAGCCCTGACTCACCTTTTAACCACGGTGCCTTCTCTTCTTCTCTCTTTGGTCCCTGAAGCCAGCACCAGCCCCACGGCAGGCCTGGGCACTGCTGCCATCATTGGCATCCTGGTCGTGGTGTTCGTGGCACTGCTGGTGGCCGTGGACGTCACCTGCTACTTCCTCAACAAGTGTGGGCTCCTCATGTGCATCGCGGTCAACATGTGCGGCAAATCCGGCCCCGGGGCCAAGGGCAAGGACATGGAGGAGGGAAAAGCTGCCTTCTCGTGAGTACTGCCCCTGCCCCTGTCCCCCTTCTCGTGAGCACTGCCACTGCTCCTGTTCCCTTTCTTGTGAGTACTGCCACTGCTCCCATTCCCCTTCTCGTGAGTACTCCTGTCCCCAGCAGCCGCGGGAGGAGGAGCTGTCCCGGCGGGCCGGGGGTTCCTCAGCTCTGATGGGAGGGTGCTGGGGAGGTCTGGGGTTCTCTGTGCTTCCAGGAAGGTGTTTCTGCAGTTGTTGCCCTGGTTTTGTCTCGTTCCTGTTGGTGGCCATCGGACAGGTGGCCCAGTGGACATCCCAGTGCCGGACGTGCCGCTGGAGTTCTGTGCCGTGGGGAAGGAGAAGTGACCCCAAGGAGTGCCCCGTGTTTAGCCCAGGGTGTCTGTCACTCACTGGGGGCGTTCACAGCGTGTCTTTGCAGGAGGATTCCTGTGAGTGGGCTCCAACCTCGGTGCAATTCCTTCCCTGCAGGAAAGATGAGTCCAAGGAGCCCATCGTGGAGGTGCGGACGGAGGAGGAGCGGACCCCCAACCACGACGGGGGCAAACACACGGAGCCCAACGAGACCACCCCGCTGACAGAGCCAGAGTATGTTGGCATTAGCCAGTCCTAGCACAGGGGCACTGCAGTGCCCTCAGCTGCCCCCATCTCACGATCAAGGTCTCCCGTGAGCACAACTTAGGGCAGGAAGAGAGGAAGAAAGGTAAAACCTCCACCTGCCGTTGGTGACGTGCCAGTGAGGAAGTGCCTCCTCTCAAGATTCAGTGACTCCTATTCCCAGCACTGGAATGGAGCAGAGTGTCCTCAAAGGCCTGTCTGTGCCAGCCCTGCCCGGTGTGGAGATCAAAGACCTGCCCAGGTTCACTGCAGAGGATCCAGAGCAGAGTCAGCCCCGGCTGGCAGCGAGGGCTGTGTGAGCCGTGCCCAGCAGTGCTGGAGGAGAGCCTGAACCCCCTGAGAGCACCCCCTGAGAGCAGCAGAGGAGCTGGGCTCTGCTGTGGAGGAGGCAGAGCAAGTCTGAGTGTTCTGAGAGAGGGCTGAGAGCTCCGTGTGAGCTTTGTTCACATCAGGGAACTGAACTGGGCCCTGAGTCTGCATCACGTGTGCGTGTGAGAAAAAGAAATGTGTTCTGTGTGGCTGGATGGCCTTGCAGACCTTCAGGCCAGCCTGCAGCTAAAAGGACAGGGCAAGGTGAGGGGTCCTGCACTGGGACCGTGCTGTGTGGTGACAGCTGGCACAGGGCTGCAGGCTCAGGGCATTGGCAGAAAGCTTCCCTGGGAGCTCAGGGGGAAGCACTGAGAGCAAAGTTAGGCTGAGGGAGAAGAGTCTTTGCAAGTTGGCAGGTTTCCTTTTGCCTCAGACCTGAACCAAAACTCTCTGTGAACAAGCCATTCCTGCAGGTCACATCCTCTTTGCCTTTTTTCTCTCCTAGTTATCCTCACTCTTCCCTCGCTCCCTTTGCATGTTTGACCTCTGAAAGTCTCTGCTCCTCCTGAGTCCCTCTCCGTGTTGTGTGTGTGTGTGTGTTGTAACCAGCTGGTGCTGCTCCACCTCCTCACTCTCCCTCTCTGCCCCCCCTTTCCCTGCTGTCGTTTCGGGGCTTCATTGTCTCTATTTCTCTTCTGCCCCTGTCCCCCCCGCAGGCACCCCGCTGACACCGCAGCCACCGTGGAGGACATGCTGCCTTCTGTCACCACGGGCACCACTAACTCTGACACTATCACTGAAACCTTTGCCACTGCTCAGAACAGCCCCACCAGCGAGAGCACCACGCTGACCTCCAGCATTGCCCCTCCGGCCGCGGCCGCCCCCGACTCCAACGCCGCGTCGCCCGGCCAGGCCACCCCGGCCAAAGGGGCGGCCGCCACCTCGGTGTCGTCACCGCCACCCTCCTCCACCCCCAAAGTGGCCCCTCTCGTTGACCTCAGCGACACCCCGAGCTCTGCTCCGGCCACTAACAGTTTGTCTTCAAGTGTCCTGTCGGGGCAGGGCGCGGTGCTCAGCCCCAGCGCCGCCGCCGAGGCCTCCAAAGCGGCAGCTGGGAACAAGCCGGCTGCCCCCGGCCCCGCGAACCTCACGAGCCCTGCAGCTCCAGCAGAGCCCAAGCAGGAGGCCTCCAGCACCAAGAGCCCCGAGAAGGAGCCTGTGCAGCCCAGCACAGTGAAGAGTCCGACGGAGACGCCCAAGAACCCGAGCAACGTGAAGAGCGAGGCTGCCTCGGGCAGCACCGCCAACCCCTCCCAGAACGAGGACTTAAAAATGGACGAAGGGACCTTCAAGACACCAGACATTGATCTTGCAAAGGATGTTTTTGCAGCTCTTGGCACTGCTCCTGCCAGTGTGGCTGGGGGGCAAGCTCACGAGCCTGCTCCTTCCACTGCAGACAGCTCTGTACCCGCTGCGCCTGCAAAGACCGAGTACGGCTGCCTTTACTCTTGTGTTGGTTGTGTGCTGTGTCTCTTGTGCCCTGGTGCTCGTGCTGTGTCCTTGTTGGGTGTTCTCTTAACTAATCTCACCGTTTCCTTAGCGAACTAACTCACCACTGAACCGACAGGGCTTGGCTTGAAAGGTCCAGGAGGAAAGCCAGGAGTAGGCTGTGCCAGGGAAGCAGAGAAAAGAAACCTGGGAATTCATTGGGAATGTGTTATTCCTCAGACTTTTATGCAGCTTTGTCTATCTTGGGTTATTCTTTTGTGGAAGAGAGCAGAAATAGTTCAGTTTGGTGCAGAGGAAGAGCTGAGTTCCTGCAGGTCAATGAGCACAACCACCCAAATTCCATTTCCTGAGAGATGAGTGGAAATTCAAAACACACTCAGTGTAAGGCTGGGCAGAAAAATTAGTGCCACGTGGAACCGTGAAAGCCAGGAACCTCTGGAGCTGTCCCTAAGCTGGCAGAAGGATGAGGCAGTGTGGTGCTGTCTGAGAGGGGAGCAGTGGGGTCAGGATAACCTGGCAGAGTGTTGGATTAGGGATGAGTCTCCACCAGCTGTACCAGGTCTCCTTTCTACCCAGCTGATTTATTCTGAGAGCAGCAGCACGTCCCCAGGCAGGGCCACCCCAGGGCCCTTTGGAGCCTTGTGCCATCTGGAGAGGATCCACATCCCTCAGCTGAGAGGAACCTGCACCTTGTGTTTGGCAGGAGAGTGGAAAGAGCAGGAGAAGCTCCCCTGGGTGGCTGGGGGAGGGTGCCCAGCTGTGGGGCAGGGGTTGGACAGGAGCACTCGTGCTGTGCTGGGCTGTCAGCTGCTGGCAGAGCCTGTGGAGATGGGCACCTCCCTTCCACCTGGGAAAATTCCCATCTTCCGTGTTTCACTTCCTGCAACGTGCTGGGAAATTCTGGGACTGGCTTCCTGTAGGAAAAAAAAGGCTTTTCTGCTAAAAACACAGCCTGTTTGACCAGGGCACTGGGGTGGTGAAGTGGAATTCCTTGGCAACCAGGCGAGTTTCCCTGGGGCTCCTCTTTGCCCACCTCGAGCCCCTGCAGCTGCACCCTCGTCCTGCCTCGTGTTAGCCCAGGGCAGGAGGAGCAAAAAAGATGAATCCAGAGCGAAGTGAAGCTGGGCTGGGGGGGGACTGAGTTTGGTTTTACTTCTCCCTGCATCAGGAAATGCTCCTTTTGCTCTGCCAAAGCGAGGCGTGGGCTCCAGAAAGATATTCGTTCCTTATCAGTCACTCAGCCTGCCTTTCTGTGCCTCTAAACTGTGCCGTTTTGGTGATTGTTCCCCAGGAAAATCCCAGTAGAAGACAAATCCGAAGTGCAGGTGACAGACAGGAAGACCCCTCCAGCAGAAGTGAAGACGGTCCCCAACGAAGCCACACAAACAAATGAGAACGAGAGCAAAGCATGATCAGCACCGGGGAGACAACGAGAGAGCATTGAAATCACAGCCCACACACCCATCTCATTCCTCTAGTGTCTGTTGCCTTTTTTAAACAAACAAACAAACCAGAAAATGCATAAACGGGGGGAGGGGGGAATGTCTACTTTTGTTTTCTTTTATTTTCTTCTCTTCTCCTTTTTTTTTTTTATTTTCTTTTTTTTTTTATTTGTTTGTTTTACTATTTCTAGAAAGATTCTATTCGTTGTGCACTTGCTTTTAAAAAGTAATACATGTTAAAAACAGGGTTAAACCCGTAACCAAATCAGGGCTTGGCTGACCCTGGGTATATTCAGAGAAGCAAAAGTTGCAATACTGTTTGCAATGTGGTTGGGAAGCTCAGAATCAACTAGTCCTAGACAAAAAAGAAAAAAAAAAAACACAAAAAAAGACAAAAAAAATAATCAAAGAGACCCTGTTGTTTCCTTTGTTAGTATAGCAGATATAACCACTGTGCTGCTGGGCACGGCTGGTACTTAAAGAACAAAGTCCACAATTTATTTTTATACTTTTCAGTCGAGTTTGAAATATGTAAAGCCTCATAAATAAGTTATAATTTCTGTTCACCTTGTATTTGTTCAGTATGCAAAGTGTCTCGAGCCCTTTGTGACTGAATTCTGTTTGCCACGTTAGACATTTATTTGGGGTTTATTATTGTCTTATTTTTTAGGAAGAATGCCAAAATTGCAGCTTCGGGGGATGTATTTCAATTTGCAGTATTCAGACTCTACATTTCTTTAAATTTTATGTTAATTTTTTTTTTTTTTGCCAACTTTTGTTCTTTCCAGTGTTTACAATTGACAGATATTTTTTTAACTTTTGTTGTGTTTAAATGGATGTGTAAAATAGCTGCCTTTTTTTTTTTTTTCTTTTTTTTTTTGTTTGGAAGTCAATCCAGTCTCTAGACTCTAGGGTAGCAGCATGCTTGCTTTGCAAAGGGAGACATTTTCAAACATGGATGTTTACAGTAGTTGTTTCCCCTTTATCTTTTCTTAATTATTGTTATTATTATTATTATTGTTATTATTATTATTATTATTTCTTACTGGAGTAAGAAGAAAAGCGATGCTGGGGTTTGGTTTGGGATTTTTTTGGGGGGGTGGGGGGTATTCAAACCACTTGTCACCAATCAAGGTCTTTATCCAGCAATCCACATAAACCCTGGCTCTCCTTGGAATGGGGGAATTGCTGGAGAAAGTCCTTCTATTCTTAAATTTAGTTGAAGTCCCTTGCTGGACCTGGGCCTGACTGCATAAGAGAAATATCATCTCTGCTTTTTTAGGACATTCTCCCCTTTCCTTCATGGAACCCTCCCAGAGCTCTGAGGAGCAGAAGGGAGATTGTACAGTTGGGGCTGGTCTGGGCTCAGATGTTTGACTGCATCAGTTCCCCCTTATTTTGATGCCAGTAAATCCCAGGGTCAGTAAATCCCACGTCCTGTGGCCCTGGAAAGCACATTTCAAAGCAAAGACTCTTAGCCCAAAGGTGCTGGGCAGGTGCCAGACCCCTCCTGCGGGTGGGGCTGGACCAGCTGATCCCTGTAGGTCCCTTCCAGGTGCCCCTCCCTGTCCTGTCCCGTCCCCCTGTGTGTGCTGAGTCTGTGCTCTGCAGAACCAAAAACCCGAAATCAGGAGCAAGTGCTTGGAAATCAGTGCCAGGGGTGCCAGGGGTGCCCCCTGGCATCGTGTCTTAGGAGCTGGGAAAGGGGGTGACGTAGCAGCTGTGTTAAAATCATGGAAGGGGGCAGCTGATAATGGCATTTCTCATCAGGAATCATGGAGTAACGCTGAGATTTGGGGGTGAAAAGGAGCTTTGAGCAGAAGGGAGGCAGAGGCGTGTAGGGAGAGACCAGCCCATTGTATAGAGATGTTCCTTCTGTTGGGGTTTTGGGGTTTTTTTTCTCCTCCTCTTTTTTTTTTTTTTTTCCTGTTTTTGTTTCTTTTGTTTTCTTTTTTTATTCTACTTTAGATCTGCAAGCTTGTGCACTGTGGGTGCGTGACTATTTTAGTGTGAACCGTGTTTTTTGTCATAGTATTGAAATAATAAAAAAGCTTCAACATAGTTTGGATGTGGAAGGTGTAGCGCTAGTTCAGATTTGAAGAAAAAAAAATATTCAGGAATTCAAACAAACAAACGAAAAGAGAACAACTCTTACAAAGAACAGAAGCCTTTAAATGAGAAAACCAACCCGAGCTGAGTGTGGTTCTGTGGTGAGGAGCAGGAGGATGAGGGGGGTTTGGAGGCCGCAGTTGGCTCAGGTCAGTGGAGCCACTTCCATCCGTGTGTCCTTGGAAGGAGTGCAGTCTGTTCCAGCAGCATCACATCACTTCCAACTGTGGGAAATAATGGTCTTGTCATTTGCTAGGTGTGGGGTTTTTTGCATTTTTTCCTCAGCTCCTGGGATGCCCGTGGGGGATGGCTGGAGGTGCAGGACCCATCCCGGTGGGATCTCGGGGCAGGACGGGGCCTCACCCCAAAGCCCTGCAGCAGATCCTGCCCTTGCATGACCCATCACAGCAGTGTCGGTGTAACTGGGGGGAAGTTTGGCTCACAGTCCTTAGGATTGCTTTGTTTTCCCGAGAAACCCATCGGTCAGAGGCAGCACAAGGAGCTCCCGGGGTGTGTCTGCACCGGGGAGCTTTGGGGCAGCAGTGGGTGCTTCTGTCCCTGGGGTGAGCTCAGTTTGTCACATCAGTGGTACCTCCATCCCTGGGGTGAGCTCAGTTGGTCAGATCAGTGGTACCTCCATTGCTCTGGGTGAGCTCAGTTGGTCAGATCAGTGGTACCTCCATCCCTGGGGTGAGCTCAGTTGGTCAGATCAGTGGTACCTCTGTCCCTGGGGTGAGCTCAGTTGGTCAGATCAGTGGTACCTCTGTCCCTGGGGTGAGCTCAGTTGGTCAGATCAGTGGTACCTCCATCCCTGGGGTGAGCTCAGTTGGTCAGATCAGTGGTACCTCCATCCCTGGGGTGAGCTCAGTTTGTCACATCAGTGGTACCTCTGTCCCTGGGGTGAGCTCAGTTTGTCACATCAGTGGTACCTCCATTGCTCTGGGTGAGCTCAGTTGGTCAGATCAGTGGTACCTCCATTGCTCTGGGTGAGCTCAGTTTGTCACATCAGTGGTACCTCCATCCCTGGGGTGAGCTCAGTTTGTCACATCAGTGGTACCTCTGTCCCTGGGGTGAGCTCAGTTGGTCAGATCAGTGGTACCTCTGTCCCTGGGGTGAGCTCAGTTGGTCAGATCAGTGGTACCTCTGTCCCTGGGGTGAGCTCAGTCTGTCAGATTTCTGCAGTTTTGGCTGGTTTTGTCATCTGTGTGTTGGACCTCCCCAGTTCTAACCCCTGAGAGCTGAGCTGCCCAGTGCCAACCATCAGCCCCTGTCGGGTGAAAAGGGGGAACTTCCCCCTGGATTGGCCTTTCCACTGGAAAAGGGGCCCACCCAGAGCCCAGCCCAGCACCCACACTGACAGAGGGTCTGGGGTTGGAACTGGGGCAGCTTTAAGGTCCCTTCCAACCCAAACCATTCCATGGGTGGAGTGAGCACCACTCCAAGCAGGAGTGGAACCCTGTGAGCTCCTTCTTCACGTTCTCACAACTCCTCCCAGTCCTTGCAGTGCTTTGACACTCGCCCTTATTGGGGGGTCATTTATTTAATGTACAAGTTGCCCGTTCCCAGGGCAGCCCAGGCTTCCCTGCTCTGAGTTCCACCTCTGAGGAGGTGCCAGCCCAGCCCCTGGGCACTGTGTGTGTTGGTGTGTGTGCCCATCCCCAGCCAGGGGCCCCAGGAGTGCTGACATTGTGCTGCCCATGCGTGAAGGTGACGACAGTGCATCCCGTCCTTCAGCTTTGAGAGTGGACTTTTATTTTCACCCTTTTCTATGGAGCCTTCAAACCCCACATTTTTCACACCTAGGCTGTTTTGGTAGTTGTTCTCAGCCCCTCCATTGCCATCCTTCCCCAGCATTCCCTACTTTTGGGGGCCTTCTATCTTGTTAAAAAAAGAAAAAAACAAAAAATCTTTTTACCGAGTGAAACATCGAGTCCACCTTTATCCCCATTCTCACTGGTGTAAATACTGATACTAACTGAGGATTTTGACTTTGCATTCTGTCAGAATACTGTGTTCAAATAAAAATTACCAAAAAAAAAAAAAAAAAGAAAAGCTGCTGCCCTTCTTTAGCTGCTCTGCCAGGGCCCAACCCCTGAGTGTCCCAAACAGTGTTTTAAAGTTTGTGTCTTTGCCCCACTGCATTTATTTATTCATTTCCCTCGGATAACAAGCACACAGATGCAGTTCCATGGCCGCTGTGAAACAGGGACAGCTTTTTTTCCCTCCCCAAAAAGGGCACTTCCCTGTTGTGTGGCTATGGAAGGTGTGAGTTTTGGCTTTAAAAGTTCTCCTTAACCCATCCTGAATTGGACGCCTGAACTTGATTAATGAGGGTTCAATCTAATGAATTTATTTAATAAATGAATTCAATTAAGGGTCTTTATCTTTTTTTTCCTAAATTTTAACCAAAACCCGCCAAAATGCCCAAGTTTAATTTTTCTAGTCTGGGGGTTGCAAGGGGTGGGGTGTCTGTTTACTTTTCCTTAAGAATATTTTCAGAAATTCGGAGTTTATTTTCACACAGAAGTTTCCATTTGGCTAAAAAAGACTTTTTTTTTTTTTTTTTTCCCCACTACCCATTTGATATAAAAACCCACCAATTCCTTTCAAGTGGGGGAAACATGAACTGGCCCAAGTCCCTGGTTGGGTTTGAAGGGAGGGCTCTGAGGTTGCTTTTGTGTTCCTGGCTTTGGCAGCTGCTTCCCTGGATGCCCCCAGTGTCTGCTCTGCATCCAGGGCCGGGGGCCTGGAATCCCTTCCCTGGCTTTGCCTCCTTTCCTGCTGCACCAGCTTCAGCTCCAGGAGCTCAGGTATTTTTCCCTCTTCTCCCAGAGGTAAGAGAGGGGCCTGGAGCCTCGTTT